GTGTCAGGAAATCTGTAAATACCATATTATGCTACTATTTTAATATGCTATATTTTGTTCTAATCTATCCTTTTCTGAAACCTTAATTATATAGTCTGGATTTTTTAAAAGTATGTACTCAACATTTGTATATATTAGAATCTCTTTCCTAATGCTGTTCAATGGCCAGTTAGTTGATAAAATTTATAGAAGCAAGAATCCAGAATAAATCATATATAATACACACAAATCTTAAATTATTAATTTATTTATTCTTTTTGGAGGGCCAGTATTGGCGTTTGAACTCAGGGCTTTGTGTTTGCTAGGCAGGTCTCTACCACTGGAGTCACGTCTCCAGCTAAATTATTTGTTTTAACATAAAAGCATACATTTGTATTCAAATGTCCATCTTTTGATGTAGGGCCAAGATCTTCTTTTTTTTAATGTATGGCCTTCTGATCCCATTCTTCTATATATTCTTCCCATAAATCATACCCTTAATGCATCTGTGACTTCCAATATTGGTATACTTGACATGGAAAAGTATTGCAGATGTGTGGGAAACAATTTGAGTACAGAATTCTTTCAGATTTTGGTATATTTTCTTCTCCAATATTTTACAACTGTTATACCCCAAACCAACCTGATGACACATTTGGAAGGATTCTCCCTTATTGAGTCTTTACAAAGATATCAAATTAATTTTCATAGAAACAACTCTTGTTTTTATTCATAATAATTTTCAATATGCATTTAATTGTGGATTTATAATGACAAGTAGAACTATCAAAAATACATTCGTGAAAATATTTATTGGTGAATATGCACTCAGTTTTTGGATGTCAAGGCACGCAATCATACTAGAGTGACCTACTTACTAGCTACCAGCTGGCATGTGCCAGTTTTTTAAAGAGGGAACGGAGCCAGATGCCAGTGGCTCGTGCCGGTAATCATAGCTACTTGGAAGGTTGAGATTGAGAGGATTGTGGTTCAACCACAACCTGGGCAAAAAGTTAGTGAGACCCGATCTTGACCAATACTTGAGCGCAATGGTGCATGCTTGTCATGTAAGCTACATGGGAAGATTGTGCGTTCCAGGCCAGCAAGGGCAAAAAAAAAAAAAAAAGAGTTGACCAGACCTCATCACAACAGAGAACAGCTGCCATCATCCCAGTGATGGCAGGAAGCATAAAATAGAAGAATCACGGTCAAGACTGACTTGAGCAAAATGGGCATCCATTTTATCTGTTATCTCCAAAATAACAGAGCAAAAGGAGCTAGAGGTGTGGCTCAAGCAGTAGAGTACAAAGCCCTGTGTTCAAACCCCAGAATCATAAAATAAAATCATATAAAATCAAGAGGTACTGTATGCATCATTGAGTGGAATTTGGTTAGGAGACGTTCTACTGTCCTTGCTTATTTAAAAATATCCAGACACGTACAGAGTGAAAAGCTAAAGTCCCCTTATGCTATCCCTGGGCAGACGATACTGTTAAGAGTTTGTTGTGTTTCATTCCAGGCTGACTTCATTGCATTTATCTATCCTTGTGCATTGCTTACATCTTTTGATGTGCCAGACATCAGACTAAGACCTTAATGTGAGTTAGCTCATTTAATCTTCACAACAGCCCTATGAGATAATACCACTTTTATCTCTATTTCATAGTCGAGTAAATCGAGGCTCAGAAAGTTTCTTCAATTTTCCCACAGTCATACACTGATTGTTTTTCCTGCTGAAAGAACTATCATACTAATGTGCATGAATCAAGTTAAACGTTTGGTTCAATTCATCTGTTTATTCTGTAGACATCTAATTGAATGTCCACTCCTTGCCAAGCTTAATGGCAGGTTTGGCTTTTGTCTTCAGGTACCTGCAAAAGGTAGATCAATTTGTGAATTACATAATTTCCCCCAATTCATTCTGTTAGAAAGTGAGTAGAGAAAGATTACAAGTCTATTTTAACAAATTGGTATATGACAGCTCTAGGGGCATAGAAAGTTGGGTAGATTGATTTTCAGAGCTAGTCTCTTTGAATATTAAGTACTGCTTTCATGAGATAACATTGGATCTTCCAAGAATCAGTGTCTAATGGTTAATGACCCAGTAAACTGGACATTATAAATACAAGCTTCGAAAGATTTCTTTAAATAATGAGGGCTGGGGATATAGATCGGTGGTAGCTTGTGTAACATACACAAAGCACTAGGTTTGATTCCTAGCACCATGAAATAAAATATGACATATAAATAGATACATACATATATATTGGTTTTTGTATTTGAAAATATATATCTTTTTTAAAAAAACAGATACTGCTCTACTGTAATCCAAGGGAGATGAGGACAAACAGGATTAGGATTGCAGTTTAAATTCCTGGAGTAGGAGGACTGACTGGGGGTAGAGACTTTAGATCTGCTAAGAGCTGGATTAGAAGGTTGAACCGTGCTAACTTAAATAGAAGCAAACAATTGTACTGAGAATCAGAAGTCCAGAAAAAGAAGAGTTTTATGTAAGGAGATATTACGAGAAAGACAATCATAACTTAAAAATTGAGAAATTGGATCATGATGGTAGAAAAACATAAAGGCTGCGTGTTGAGACAGAACCAAGACTGTATCTATTATGCAATACATTCCACAAGGCTGGGTAATTTCAATGTACACTATGGAGGACAGAAGGGAAATGCCTATCCAGGAGCTGGGGGTGGAGGGCCTGAGCCACATGAGCGCCTGACCTCCAGCTGGCACGAATGCCAAAGGCTTCCAGAGCTATTTGGCCACATTTACATGAATGGAAGAATCAGGGGATTATTCCTATAAACATGGTATGGGATTTTTACAGAAGGGAGCAAAAAGCAAACCTTGGTGTAAAATCTTCCAAGAATGGCTACAGATTTTGTGACTACAGAAACATTTACATATACAAACACATGGAATGTGACAGCCTTGATAGAGAGGATTAAGTGCCCGGATGGAAAATAATAAAAATGAAGAGGAAAATGGAAAATCTTGAGCTTCTTAAATTTGTTTGCAAAGAAACTGGAGTCTGTGATGGAATTTGGTGCTCGTGACTGAAATGTTTCTTTGGTGTTGGAAAAAGTATTGCTGTCATCCCCCTCTCTTTAGAAATTCTTTTTTTTTAATAATAAAAATCCCGTGGCAGCTCCTTGTCTGGAGGACTTTAAAAATAGGAGAGATTTCATCTGTCTGGAATGGTCTGTGTCAGCACTTGCCCTAGGCTAGGTTGCCACATAGGCAAAAAACGCCCCTGCTCCATTCCCCCAGCCGGCGCCCCCTCCCTCAGACCCCCATGCTCTTTGTGCCCCCACCCCCACTTCCAGCTCTGGCTCCCTTTTCCTGGGCTGTAGCTCCAATGCCATCTCCCACATCAAACCAAACCCCTCTTCTGCAGTGCAGCAGCTCTCTGTCCAGGTGCTAGGGATGCCATAGGTTTTGCCCTTTGTGGCTTATTTGCTTTTAAAAATAGGACCCTGGTTAACCCAAATGGCTTTTGATTTGGTGGAGCTCTGGGCAGTGTAACCAAGTGAAGGCAAGTCCAAGGGGAGAGGGGCGTATTTTTGGTCAGTGAGGGAAAGAGGGAGGTGGGCCGCCTTCCTGGAAGCTATTAAATCCCAGATGTGGGCTCCATTCAGTGTAGTACTGCCTTGGGGTTGGGGGGGGCGATGGACTCTCTGACCTCTCAAGGTTGCTGTTAATTCTATAGGTTGGTGATTTCCAGCTTGGTTTCCCCACACCCAGCTTCCTTTGCAGCATTCTGAGGACCTTGTGACTCGGCTTTAACTAGGGGTTTTCAGCAGCATGGCTTTGTGCCTATCAGCCAGGGCCCAATTTTCCCATCACATCCAACCTGCAACAGCAGCTCATGGGTTCAGCAGTGGTGGTGGCTGAAGATCAGCCCCAGCTCCACTGAGCTCAAAGAGATTTTCCCAGAGCACTCTTCAAAGCTCTTGTTCTCAGAGGAGCCTAAGAAAGACACTGCTTTGTGCTCACAGTGTGGGGGGGCTTTATCAAGAAAAAATATGTGTGGCTTTTGTGAACAGAGCATGCCACATGCAGATTTGGTGGGCAAAGCTCAGAATAAAATCTGTTCAAGGAGCTCATAGGATTCATTTGGTCAGTTTCCTGTTGGATCAACAAGCATTCAAGAGCTGCTGGGCTCTGAGTTAGACCTGGGGTGTAAGAAGAAATAGCAAGGCCTGTCCCCACTATGGAGGAATTCAGTGTGAGGGGGAAGATAGACACGCAATGCAAGAAATGCCTCGTTTGAAGTAAGCCAGGGTGTTTTGGAGCACCAACCAGGCCTGTCCTCAACCCTGAACTGATAACATCAGGGAAAGCTCCCTGGGGAGATGACATCCCAGCTAAGTAAGAGGAAGGCAACAAGGGCAGGCTGTGGAGAAGGAATGACACAAACAGAGGCATAGAGATATGAAGCATGTGTAAGGAGCCGTAGACAGCCTGCAGTTATTAAAGATGAAAGTGTCAGGAAGAGGAGGCAGGACACAGGAATGCAGAGGTAGTCAGGGCCAAAAAAGTGAGGGAGACCCTGGCCTCTCTGGCTATGGGGTGAAGCTTTATCCTCAGGAGAATCCCTGAAGGATTTGAGGCAGGAAAGTAGTAGGGGTAAGGGAGACTTACATCTTGATTAAACTGTCAATTGGGGGAGAATCATTCAAATTGCTTGTGAAACAGATTGATGAAAGATTTCCACTGAAAGGGGAAATTTGCAGGCCTAGCCATAGTTAAGTACTCTCTTTTTTCAAAAGGGTCCAATATTAGTCTGAGGATTTTTTTTAGGGGTGTCCCTAAAACCACCTGGAGATAAGATGCATGTGTCTGTCTCTAAAGCTCTCAACATCATTTAGGGGAGTGCAGGCCCTCTGAGGGTGCTTAAAGGAAGTGGGGCCTTTCCGGACCGTCTTGTTGCTGCCACCTTTTATTGCAGTGACAATATCAGGTTAGGAACGCAAACTGTGCTGTGATCTGTTTGTTTTATTTAGCAAAAGTCATGTGGAAAGGCACTGTTTAACCTGAGTTGCAGTCAACTAAATCTTGCTGAAAAGGAATATTTTGGATTAGAATTCTGCAGCCATTCCGGAAATAACGTAAGTTGATTTTATTCTTCGTGTCTTGAATTTCTTCTAACTACAGTTTGCATGTAGGTAGGTAGGGCCGAACCCCAACCCCCCTGATTGAAAAATTAAAACATTTCTACCCTTGCAAAATAACTGAATTTAATACCTATTTTCCCTCTTCCCTCCTTGTTCATTGACAGTTATCTCAGTTTGCCAAACACAAACTCTTCTGTGCCCACACTTCTGTTTTGTCACTCTCAACAGCTATCCACACTTCATCCGGAATGAAGACTCCCGACCTCACGTGAATACTGAGGGCATTTCCTTTGCTGTTTCTCAGGCCCTTATGCTCCCGAGGTCCTTCTGTTACATCCTGCTGTGGCCTTATCTGTAGTCTGTTACCTTCCCAGAAAGGCTCATTAGCTCTATTAAGCTGGCACTTGGGGGACTGCATGATTCAAATGTAGAGCCAAATGCCTTCATTAGTCTTTGTAGCCACTAATAAGCCTCGTATGTGACACCTCTGTCATCCTACTGAGGCAGGGGAGCAGTGATTCAAATGTCAACAACAAAGAGTTTATAGATCAACAGTGTTCACTGTCTTGGGAAAAAAGGAGCGACTGATGGAGTGTGGTGGAGGGACGTCATGTCTTGGACAGTCTTGTTTGTTTCCAACTATCTTTAGAAATCTAAATAGTCCTGGTATTTGTTCATTTCATGTTGACCTTTATCTGGTACAAAAAGGGCAAAAATCTGCACTCCACTGCCACCTTCTACCAATTTTTTTCCTCAATGTTATTACAGGTTTGGTTGGAACTTCTGAAGCCCATAACAAAACAAGTAAAAAGTAAGTATGGAAAATCATTTAAGGAACATAGTTCTCCGTTCACACTTGAAAAATATTTCAGGAACCCCTCACAATTCCTCACCTTAATATTAAGGGACAAAGGGCCTTGGATAGATGATTGCAATCCTTTACACATCCAGTAAATTTAGCAGTTGAGAAAATTGTCTTAATTTGGCCTGAGATGAAGCAGCTCACGTTGCTGGGGAACGCGGGTAATTACAGCACTCTGTGGATTGGCTCTAGGATTATTCCTCTTGCTCTAGCCTGTAAGTCTTCAAGCACCCTTAATGTCAATCTGCGATGCCACTCACCTCCCTCCTGAACATCTCTGCTTTTATCCTGTCACAGGCATTGCCTGTTGGCTTCTGTTCATGTTTGAGTGCCTCCTGTGAATGAAAGAGTGCCCCCTGAATTCCACGATCTTGTGTGCTGGTTCTCAAAATTCAAGATGCGTTATGATCCCCTGTGGTTCTGGCTAAAATGCAGGTTCCTGGACCTCATTTCTGGGTTGGGGGGCCAGAAACCTACATGTTTCACAAATTCCATAGGTGTTTCTGAGACAGGTGGAGTTCAATCAACACTTTCTTTGTTTGAGACAGGGTCTCAGGATGTCGCCGAGACTGTCCTTGGAATTGGCAATCCTCCTGCCTGGCCTCCCAAGTGCTGGGATTACAGAAGTGCCATACCATACCCCATTCAATCAACACTTTGAGCAACACCATTTCATTGTCTCTTCCTGGTTCCACTCCCCCACCCCCCAAGCATGTTACATGTTGATGCTTCCCACAGTTCTGTTTGTCCCCGCTGTGTAAAATCATTTGTCACATTATTCCAGCAGCCTTTGAACTGATTCTCCCCAATCTGTCATCAACACAACTCTCAGGGATTAATTGAAAATAGAACCCTGACCATATCTTCCTCCTGCTTAAAATCTTTCCTTGACTCCCTGTTACCCTCAAAGTCCAATCTTCTATTCAAAAGATGTTCTAAGCACTGGAGTCTGACTATTTTCTAGCTCCACCCCTGCTACTAACCATTTATATTCCTCTTCTGTTGCCTTTAACAAAACTAATCTCACAGCTAAAATGTAGGATGCCCTATCGAACTGGAATTTCAGATAAACAAAGAAAACTTTTGTATAAGTACATCCCAGGCAATTGCTAACTGAAATCCAAATTGAACTGGGAGTCCTGCATTTTTATTTGCTAAATCTGGCAGCCTTACTCAGATGTCAGCTCCTCTAAGCAAGACTTCCTTGATCTTCTCCAAACCCTTTTGTCTGTCTGGTGTTACCCCTGTTTTCAGGGCTTTGTAGTGGTGTCTGGTGGCATCTTTCCTACCAGATTGGCAGCTATTAGCTGTGTTTTTACTCCCAGTATCTCCCTGGTACAATACTCAGCTCATGATAGGCACCAGCAAGTATTTGCTGAATGAATGGTGCTAATGCTGAGTGTATGTGGTTACTTCTGATGCAAACAGTTACCTCTTCATTCTCCTCTTTCTCTTCCCCCTCCTCCTTTCCATGCTGGGGATGGAACCCAGGGCTTTGTTCATGCTAGGCAAGTGCTCTACCACTGAGCTACATCCCCAGCCCCAAATTTCTTATTTTCAAATGCAAGTAGGTGGGCAAATAAGTAGATGTGGTTTTTTAGATGTATATTTTAAGGTAGAGACATTGGTCTTTATGAGATCCTGAAGCCAGGTGATACTGATCTGCCCAAGTGAAATTGACCATCTCTCAGGCAGGAATGCAGAATTCCAGGTAGCGAGTGGTTTATTTTTCTGGGTGGGACACTTCTTAGGAGAGGGCATAGTAGGTCCCAAAGAGGCACATGGTTATAAAAAGAAACTCAAAGGGAGAAAGGGTGGGAGGAGGGATGGGAGAACTTTCCCAATTGGTATCCACATGGGGACATAAGACTATACATGTGAAAAATTGAAATACAAAATAATTAAAGTCTGTTGGAAGGAGTAATGGAGAGGGGAGGGGAGGGAAGAGAAGGTGTGTGTGTGTGTGTGTTTAAGACCTGTAACTGTTGTGATGGACATTTAAATAAAACTTATGGAGATATTGTGTTTTAAGATCCTAAGGAAGTTGTTTTCAAATTTATGGTGAAATTTTTCCCAGTGGATCCTGGACATCTTCGGGAAGAACTCACAAGGTATGGTTCTTACCTGTGTGTCTGCTGCATGACCTCACCTGAGAATCCTTATTCTCTCTCAATCAAGGAAGGGACTCTGGCTTGGCTTTAAGTCACTCTCTGGGAGATGGTGTGGGACTTGAGAGAGGGAGGGCCTGGTTGATTCCCAAGTGTTAATCTTCCAAAAGTTTGGAATCTCAGGAGAAGGAAGGGTAGCATTCTAGAAGTGGTAACAAACCTGGGTGACTCCTTGGCGGTTAAGCCATCAACTGTCACAGCCATAAGCATGACATCTGTGTTTTGATCAGCATAGGAAGATGCCAATAGATTCCCATGGTCATTGAAAATGTGTGTGTGTGTGTGTGTGTGTGTGTGTATCCTATAGGCAGAAAGTGAAACATTCTGTAATGATGACATGTACTTACAATTATGTAGACCTACTCTTGCAAAGATACATTGTTAATAGAACACTCCCCCAAACCTTACTCTGCTTTCTAGATGTACACTCTTTCTCACACATAGAATTGATCTCATCTAGCTCAGCCCTTTGGTTTACAGATGTGGAAATATCTCTTGGGAGGTAGAGTGACTTGGCCAAGATCACAGAATTTTGGCAGTTATTCCTCCTAATGTCTCTCCTCCTACAGGGTTCATGGATAGTTCATCCTCACCCCTTTAGTACAAGGGGACTTTTCTGAAGTCTTTCAGAAGGGATATTTGTAGAAGTCACTTTTTTACAAGATCCCTTTCAGCTCTTTCCACATTTGTGAGTTACAGTCCATTTTCCCAGATTACTTGCTATCTTGACATCAGTATCACCTGCATTTGCTACCCTGTTTCAGTTGAGTTTTAAATTGTGACCAATTTTGATGGAGATAAACTTTCTCAAAAATATGAGAAAATCAATGTGATGATAAATGATTCATCAGCCACTCGGAGCAAGGATTTAGTATTTGCAGTAGGCAACTGCCTTCTTAACAGCAAGGACTGTGTCAAATGACAGGAAGTTTCTTTTCTTTTGGCAAAGAGCAAAATGAAATACATGGTCCCTTTTGTAACTGAACTCATTATTGTCATTTACACCTACACTTGAAAACATTCAATGGCAAAGGTTAGGCTTCCTTTAAATTTTCCCTCATTGGTCATTTCAGAATACTTGATGTAGCTGAGTTTTTACAAGGATGCTCTCTGTTTGAAGCAGGTACATGGATTTGTGAGAGTGGTGTTCAAATACAGCTTTTCTACTTGAATAAATTCTAATGCATTAGGAGTGTTCACAATTTGAAGGGTTGTAATGATTACTGCTTTTGTAAGCTTAATAACCACCTGCTAAGTGTTCTCAGTCTGGATTTTTTTCTATCACCTGCAATTAATTTTGATCTATCATGTTGCATTCAAGGCCTTAGTTACTAAAACATTCTACATAGAACTTTATTTAGAAAAATCACATTTTACATAGAGAAATGCCCACAGTAGATACTCAATAAATGCTTTAATATATAAAGTAAAACATTGTAATCAATTTTTGTACTGTGAAAGAAAGCAGTCAGCAGTAGGATCTTCAATATACATATTTTCCCCCAAAAGTTGATTCTTTTTTGATAAGACCTTAAAGATTGGGAGAAATGCTACCTGTTTGGCAGAGCCCTAACTACCAACCTGCATTTGATGGGTTCCTGATGAGGCTTTGGTGACAAAAGTGGAGATGTGGTTGAGTTCCATTCAGTAACCATTGATTCCATACCTACTTGTTTAAGCACTGAACTGGGCTTTGGTGACATGGATTTAGCAGTCCAGGAGAAGGGAATAGCACAGGCCCAAGCATGGCTCCACTGCCTCGATTCCTAAAACACACTCTTTTGGATAGGAGGACTATCCAAATAGCCTGGACTCAGTGGCAGACCTGAGTTGTAGCCACAGTTTCAGTATCTTTGGGTGATATGGCCTTGTCAAAACTGCCTAATCCCTCTGTCTGCAGAATTGTAAAATGGGTTGATGGCTTCTGCTCCACCTGCCCCCTGAGTTGTTCCTGCAGTGCTTGACCAAGCTTTGTGAACAGTGCAGTGCTGGCCTCCCGAGTGCAGTCATGCTTGCAAGGGCTCTTGTTCTCTCTAGTTTGGGATGTGGCTTGTTCCATGGCAGAAACCAGCAGAGGAAGATTGCCCAAGTCCCTCCAGTTGGTGACAAGCTTTGGCCAGGGCAATTCCTAAGGGTTCCAAAACCTGCCAAAATGCTGGATCAGCTGAGTTGTGGGCTAGGGCTGGTCTGGGGCTGAAGCAAAACCTATGCATTAGTCACCACCCCCCAAAAAGGCATCTCACTGGCTGGGGTGCTGTTCCTTCCTTGAATTGTCTTGAATCTGGGAGAAGTGTATTCCTGCTTCTTTGTCAAGAGATTTTTCCTAACTTCTTTGAAGGTATCTTTTTACTCTTCAAATAAAGAAGGATTTGGCTCTGGGACGGCTTCCATGCAGTGACAACTGTACAGCATTGATGGTGTCTCACATCTTACAATGTAAGTAAAACCTGTGTACTTTGGGGCCTATCAACCAGGTAGAGAATCAAACAAAGGAGGTGAACATCTCCATTGGACCTGGCACTATGCTAGCCTAAGAGGAGAGAAGGCCAGGAGGAGATACAGAGGAGTGACATGGTCCAGCAGAACAAGGCTGCATCACTGCAGTAATTGAGATTTGGATCAGATCCTATTTCTACTACCTCCAAACAGTTGTAGGACAAGTCCCCTAACTTCTCTGACTCTGAATGTCCTTGTCTTTCAAATATTGACAAGTGTACCTTCTCACGGGGTGGTTCTGAAGATTAAACGTAAATGCTGATTTTTGTCTAACAGTTCACTTCTCCTTACTGCCCCTGAGTTTGCTGTTCAGGAGCTGGTTTAGGCAAATCTGGGCATGGACTTGGCCAGGCAGGCCCTGACTCCCTGCACTTGGCCCAGAATGTCTGTGCTACTTGCTCTTTGCAGTACAGTGTCACATTCAGTGTGATTTCTGTGTTACTGTTCATCACGGTTGCAGAGAACAAAGCACAGAATCCATCAGGTAGAGAGAGGCTAAGAGGGAAAAAGGCCTCAGGCATCTATTAGTGCTCCTTATATCCCTGCAGCCAAGTAATTGGACTGCTTTGAAAAAGTAGACAGTAGGAGGCCTGGGGAATAGTGGGGGCCTGCCTTGGCGGGGGGACACTTAGCAGGCCAGAGGGTAGGGTCTAGGCAGCTGGAGATAGCATCTGTTCTTCTAAGGCCAGCTGGACTTTCTCTTTCTCTTAGAGAGGCCTCCCAAGAATACATTGTTCCTTACTAATCCTGAAGGATCATAACCACTTCTTTGTTTATTTCATAAGTTCGTTTTTGACCTCTGTTCCTTACCTTCCTACCAGTCCATAAATGGTAAATTTCTAATTTCACTGGGAGCTCCAGAATGAAGTGTTTGGATAGGGACAGTGTCTGAATCAATGTTTATCAAGTGACTCCTAGCTGGGACAAGTAAAGAGAGCCCCAGGATCTTAGAAAGGCAGTGAGCAGTAAGAGCAATAGTAATCGGGAAAGACTGATAGAGAAGGTGGCTTTAGTTCTGGGCCTTGAAGGGACATATAGGAATTGGATAGGTAATGGTAGATAGAAAACAGCATAAACAGCAAGAAAGAAATGGAACAAGAAACAGCTTAGATAGAGGATGCAGAATGGTCCCACATTGGTCAGGCATAGTGTCCATTTAGAAGGGGTAGTGGAAATTGAAGCATCATTTTGAAGGGTCTTAAGTGCCAAGTTCATTAATCATGCATCCAAAATTGTACTTGGCACTGAGGTATGGAGAGCGGAGTAGAGCAGATTGAGAAAACATCCTTCTCCAATAGCTACCCTCTTAAAGTGGCAGTCAGAGATGTGAGGCTCCTAGAAGACTTCCTTTGTTGGGCAAGTGAATGGATTTTTGTTGTTGCTGTTTTGGTTTGATTTTTGGCTGTGCCAGGGTTTGAACTGAGGGCCTTGTGCTTGCTAGACAGGTGCTCTACCACTTGAGCCACTTCACCAACCAAGGGGTCTTTCTTTGGGGGAGCCCAATTTCATTCTTAACAGTTCAGCCTTATGAGGTGGAGCATTCCCTAGTGGCCATTCCAGGCATAGCACAGAGCTCTTCAGCTTTTCCAAGGAAAATTTTGTCAATAAAAGCTCATTCCAATGTATCAACTATATCATACTTGAATTCATCCCCTCCACTGTCTTCTTTCATTGTAAGAACCTTTGTAAATGCTACAATGTATTCCCACCTAGCACAACAACAATAAAAAAAACCCTTGAAATTCCAAAAAATAAAACAAACATAAAAAAAAAAAGTTCATTCCATGGAAAAACAGCTAAAGCTCCATTGAGTTAGGTTTACTCAATGCATACAGGTTAGACTCATGCTCTAAGGTCATGTTTGTAGTTCAATCAGATTGCTCATGTATCTGCTAATTCACTGATTTATCCAGTATTTCTTGAATGCCTGCTATATTCTAAACATTCAGAAACCCCCACCTTCTGATCTCCTTTGCTTATGTCTCTCTTACTCACCTGAATGTCAACGGTAGGCAGAAGGAGGCCTGCTCTAGGCAGACACTCCCCTCCAAAGCCAATTTGTACACTTCGACAATTTCTTTTTGGCAGTAGTGGGGTTTGAATTCAGTGCCTCGTGCTTGCTAGGCAGGCACTCTACCACTTTAGCCACTCCACCAGTCCCAATTTGTACATTCCAAATGAAGCTTCCCTCTTATAAACTCCCTTTGTAATTCATTTGATACAATGTTATGCTGGCTACTGTTGTAGAGATCATAGCAGTGAAGTAAGACAAAAATCCTTGCCCTCATGAAGCTCACCTTTGGTCATTGTTGGCCAACATAAGACAAATTGTATGATAACCATTAGAAGGTGAATAGAGCAATGGGGAAAAGGAAAGCATGGAAGGGAGATGGGAATTCTGGGGGTAGGTACTGAATAAAGTTAAAGTGGTGAGAGTAAGCTTAGTGTGAAGGTGGTAGTTGAACAAAGACTTAAAAGAGGTGGGAGAGCAAGCCATGCAGCAAAATCCAGGCAGAGAAAACACTCAGTGCAAATACCTGGAGTGGGAACATGTCGGGATGTTCCAGAAACATCAGAAAGACTTTTGTGGCTGGTTGGAGCTGAGTGAGAAAGAGAGAACCAAATCATGGAGGGCCTTAAAAGCATACTAAAGACCTAGAGCATGACTCTAGTTGAAGTGGGAAGCCATTGAAACAGAGAGGTGAAATCATCCAAATTGGATTTCAAGAGAAGCATGTTAGTTGCTGTATGAAAATAGACCTTAAGAGGGAATGGTAGAAGTGGGGAGACCAGATAAGAGGAAATTGCAGAAGAGAGAGCTGATGGGAGTTTGAATCAACATGGTAACGGTCAAAGCGCTCATAACATCTGTTACCTTCTGTCTCTGGTAATGTTGACTCATTTGTATATCACACTTTTCTTCCTAGAGTGTCATAGTGTTACATAGACAGAAAAATAAGGATGGTCTTAAGTGTTCTTATGTTTTCCATGGGGCTAATGTGAACTCTTGTACTTAGTGTGTTGTGTGTGTGTGATTTTAAAATAATTCTATTGAGGTAAAATTTACCCATTTGAAATGCATAGCACAATGATTTCAGTAAATTTATAAAATCATGCAACCGTTACCACAATCCAGTTTTAGAACATTTCTATAACATCAAAAGAAATCTCTTGGGCCCACTTGCAATCACACTGTTCCTATGTTAAGCTCCAGGCAACCACAAATTTACTTTCTGTTTCTATACATTTGTCTCTTTTAGACATTTCATGTAAAATGGAATCATAAGATATTTTGAGATTCATACATGTTCCAGATAGTTCCTTGCTATTGCTAAGTAGTATTCCATTTTATGGATTTAGCACACTTTGTTCATCTATTCACCTGGTCATGGATTGTTTTCAGTTTAGCCATTAAGAATAATGCTACAGGGCTGGAGGTGTGACTCAAATGGTAGAGTGCCTGCCTAACATGTGCAAGACCCTGACTTCAGCCCCCAGTACCACAAAAAAAAGAAGAAAGAAAACGAATCATGCTATAAACACTGGCGTACGATATTTGTGCCAATGCCCATTTTCTTTCTCTTGTGTATGTTCCTAGGAGTGTGAGTGCTCATTCTTGTGAAAAACTATGTTGAACATTTTAGGAAGCTGCTCAACTGTTGTCCAAATTCTTACAGTAATACCAGAAATGTACGACGCTTTCAATTTTTCTATACCCTCACTGACACTTGTCTAACTTTTTAAATTACATTCTAGTAGGTATCAACAGTCAGCGCACAGCAATTATGATTACCATTTTCTCAGTGGTTAGTAGTGCTGAACACTTTTTCATGCTTATTTCTGTTTTCTTTGGTAAAATGCCTATTTAAACCTTTTGCCATTTTCAAATGAGTTACCGTATTATTAAGTTTTAAAAGATTTTTTAAATGTTCTGATTTATATGATATGTAATTTGCAAATTTCTCTCCCAAGCTGTGCCTTGTCTTTTCATTTTATAATGATGTCCTTTCATTTTAAATTGTCTTTTGAGATACAACATATTATTATTTTAATGGAATTCTACTTTCTAAATATTTTTTAGTGTTAATGTTAATGTTTTCAGTATTGTATCTAAGAATTCTTTGCTTAACTTAAGAACATAAAAGAATTTTTTCTACTTAGTTTTCTTCTAGAACTTTCATAGGTTTATCTCTTAGTGTAGGTTCATAACCCATTTTGAGTAAATTTTTGTATACTTGGTGTGTGGTAGTGGTCCAACTTCATGTTTTTGCATGGGATGTCCATTTGTCCCCAAACCATTTGTTGAAAAGACTATTGTTCTCTTATTGATTTATCTTGGCACCTTTGTCAAAAACCAGTTGTAAGGGTTTGTGTCCAGACACTCAATTATGTTCTAATGATCTGTCTGTTCTTTGTCCATTACTACACAGTCTTCATTGTGGTAGCTTCAGAGTAAGTTTTGAAATAGGAACGTGTACATCCTCCAAATTGACTTTTTCTTTTCAAAATTGTTTTGCTTATTCTGTATCCTGTGCATTTTCTTATAAAATTTAAGATTATTTGTCAATTATTACACAAATGTCTGCTTGGATTTTGAGGGGGATTATGTTAAATTTATAGACCTACTTTGGAAAAATTCACCATCTTAACAATATTGAGTGTTTTATTTTTTCTCACCCACCCTCAACAATATTGAGATTTTAAATTTATAAACCTGAAATATCTCTCCACTCATGTAGATCTTTTAAAAATTTCTCGAGGCCACATTTTATAGTTTTCAATCTACAAGTGTTACATTTCTTTTGTTAAATTTATTCCCTGGTATTTTGTTCTTTTTGATGTTATTACAAATAGAACTGTTTTCTTAATTTGAGTTTTGGATTGCTCATTACTAGGATAGACAAGTACATCTACTTTCTGCATATTGATCTTTTTCTTGCTACCTTCCTGAGCCAGTGTGTTAGTTCTGATAGTTTTTGTGGATTTCCTTAGGACTTTATACATGCAGGATCATGTTGACTCCAAGTAAAGAGAGTTTATCTTTTGCTCTTTAGTGCAAATTCCTTACATATCTTCTTTCCTGATTACACTTACTGGAATCACCAGTAAGATGTTGGTTGATATCTTTGTATTTTTACTGGTTTTAAGGGAAAGCATTTAAATTTCTTACTATGTGGTATGATTGTGATGTTAAGCTATAGGTTTTTCATAGATAGCCTTCATCGGATTCAAGAAGTCAATTTCGTGTTTGTTGAATGTTCTTAACATTGTCCATGTATTTTACTCAATAGGAGAGTGCCATGGGAGTCCATGGAGAGTTTATGTACTCTTACAGAACATATACAGCTAACAGGTGTGGCTATCACTGTTTTCATTTTATCTGAGATTAGAAGTCACAATTTAGAACAAAGTGTTTCAAACTTTGACTTCGGGGAAGTCAATGACCAGGAAGTAACTCAGAGAAGTCTGATAAGGAGAGAAGAAACATAACAACTACAAAGAAGACCAAAGAATTCAAAAGTCAAAGCAGTCTGAGGCCACTTAAGCCAGGGCAGATAATCCAAAATACCTCGGTTGCAGTGTAGGCACAATGCTATAGTGGATGTTTACAGCAATAAGCTGGAGACATCTAGAAAAGAGTAAATTATGATCTTGGATAAACTGCCAGCTCTTTGGAACTGCCAACTGATTTCAAAAATGATTCATCTACTGAGGATTCCAGATAGCTGGGGATTTACTGGGCTCTCAATGTACAGAGTGATGATGACTTGGCTGTGCCTGGCTTGCATTATATTTAGCATTTTTATTCCCTTACTTGATAAAAGATGATCAGGGTGGAGGGAGGTTGGGGGTGTCATAGGAAAATATCAGAATGGTGTGGCTTAAATGAGAGAAATTTGTTTCTCAGCATTCTGGAGGTTAAAGTCCAAGAGATCAAAGTGTTGGCAGGATTGGATTGTTCTGAGGCCTCTCTCCTTGGCTATCTCCTTGTTGTGTCTTCACATAGTCCTTTTACAGTGTGCTCACATCCCCAGCATCTTTCTGTGGGTCCAAATTTCTTCATTTTATATGGACACTAGTCAGACTGGAGTTCAAGTCCCCTCCCCAGTATTCTTAATTTAAATATAACTACTCTTTAAAAATTCTCTTTCCAAATTGAGTTGTTACCAGAGAAAGGTGAGGGGGTTCCCACAGCTTCCAAGTTTGCATACAAAATTACAGGTCCTTGAGATCCACTTGTGAAAAGCATTTCAAGGTGTCTAACAAGGAGACTCACAAGGTGGAAATTTTAGCAAGGACTTATTTTAGTATAACCGAATAAAGTAGGGAGAAGTGTGTGCGGGTGGGGTCAGGGGAAGATGGAGAAACATTTCCTGGTCCCTATGGAGGAAATGGGAGTAAAGACTCAAATATGTATCTGTAGTCTTATACTTTCTGAGCTGGGAGAATACACGCCATCGAGTCCAAGTCTAGCAACCCTAGTCATTAGACAATGGATCTGGGTGGCCAAGATGGGAGTTAAAACATGGAGATGTCATTTAAGCCTACTCAAAACACAGGGAAAGAAAGTGAGTTTTAGGTCTTCTTTTGCCAGACATGACTTTATTTTTTTTTCTGTCTCTCTGCCCATTCAAGGAACCTTGCAGCTTGTTAACATCTCAAAGAGGAAGGCAGATGCAGATAGTCACTGAAAGTCTCCCTGTTCTCATCTAAAAGAAGATGAGAGGGGACTAGCTGCTCTGGCTTTTCAGTTTTTGCTTTCTCATTCCAATGTCTGAGCCTGGCCCTTTCACTGTTTATTAATAATATAATTTTATTGCTTTCTCATCTATGTATCCTGCCTCAAAGTCACCTTTGGTAGTACTGGGGGTTAGGAGTTCAACATATGAATTTTGAGGAGACAAAATTCAACCTATAACAGGCATTAATTGGAAGGTTGTTGGGGGAGAAGGAAACCCTAACAAAATATGCAACTGTGATCTTAAAGCCTTTAAGATCTGTAGTGGGTCTGGAGCTTACTACACAGAGACTTCATAGCAACCTACTGCTCCTGATTCAAAAAATAGCCAGTTGATTTTCCCCTATAGAAATACAAATATACAGAAAGTCCATGGTGGAAGCACAGAGCTACAGTGGTTACAAAGAAAGGACTGTTTGGTGGAGATCAGAAGGTTTGCCAGGTGCTCTATTGCTAAACTCTTCAATAGAAATGTGAAAAATGTCACTTTTTCTGTCATGCAGCAGAACTGGGAGACTTTCATGAAGAAACAGTTAGGAAACATCTGGCACAAGCCCGGTACTTACCAAATCAAGACTGTTTAGAGAGCAAGATCATGCACTTTCATCGGCAGCACATGTAAGTACTTTTGCTGGCCACCTGCTTCCCTGGTGGAGAATGCTAAAGCTGGATCTGCCTCTGAAGCTTCAGCTTCAGGTTGAAGAAAACACTGAGCTCCTCCTGGAACTCTCAGGAAGGAAGCATCATTCTTACTGCATTTATTAAGCTCATAAATCCTTTCCCCTTGCAGTGGCAGGAGCCCAGCTGAATCAGACATTCTGCTATTGGACATAGCGAGGAAGCTGGATATGTATGGCATCAGGCCTCAGCCCGCCAGTGACGGTGAAGGGACGCAGATTCACCTGGCTGTTGCTCACATGGGAGTACTGGTGTTACGGGTAATGACTCTTGGGTGGGTGGTTATCTTGAGTCAAACATAGGCATCGGTTCCCAAGGAGATCACAATGCATGGTCTTACTACTAGTTAGAAAGGGAAGTAATGGTTGCAAACGTTTTTGGGGTGAGTTCTGTCCCCTTAATGTGCTTTGCTTTCATGTGCAATCTATAATCAGCTGTCTTGATTCTGAGGACTTCACACATCAAAGGCCAGCATGGTGGGGCAATAATGTGAAGAGGTTCTTTGGAAATTCTGGACCAGAACGTTTGTGCATCCAAAAAGCTTAGGCTGTGACATTGTCCCTCCAGAGAAACCCTGAGGGGGTTCAAAATATGGTGTACTGTTCTTTGTTACTTTTTGAGGTGTCCAGTGCTGGCTGGTAGGGAATTAGTGCCCAACCCTGCCAGCAACTGTTGCTGTTTCCTGGTTCATTCTTTACACAAAACTTTGTTTTTCCAGGTTAAAAAAATCAACTCATGGCTCTCTTGTCTTCCAACATCATTAATCCTCACTCCAGGGAACTTTGCCAGAAGTTATTTTTTCAGCAGGCTTTTGGTCTACTAGATATCTTCCCATTTTTGTACTTTTAATGAATTTAGGTCCAAGTTGCCCAACCGTCAAAAATGATTTTAAAATGTATGATAGGCAGATCCCTGGGTAAGTTTGCAAATATATCACTTGTGAGAGAGAAGGGAATGACCTCAGGTATACTGATCAATAAGACCAAGTTAGAGAATTGAAGTCACAAAACAAGACGGGTAAGGACTCAGCTAAGAGATTCTTGGCCTTTTTCATTTATTTCATTGTAAACTTTTCAGCATCAGAGTCACATCAATGGGCAAAAGACACAATGGATCACAAGCATACCTTTTCTCCCAGGAGGGGCTTATTACCCATTGCACTCCAACCCCTGATCCTTGCCATTTCCTACTGCATGAGAGAAGTGGGGAGGGGAGGGGAGCAAGGCTATCCTGTTGCTTGTGATTTCCTTCAGTGTGAATACTTCTGTGGACAGTTCAGAGCAATATAGCTGATCTTAGTTAGATGATAACTGTTTTCCCTAGCCCAAATTCAGTCAAATAGACATTTATGTATTGAGTACCTTTTATGTATTTTTCATTATATTCTTTTTTCTAAAAAAATCAGATTTCTTGAGGTATAAGTTTCATACCATAAAATTCACCAGTTCTAAACTGTCCAAGTCAATGCTTTTTAGTATAGTCACACAGCTGGGCAGCTGCCTATTCATTCATCCTGTTTCCATATATTTATTGTGTATCAGAGGTAAATAAGAATGAGCCTGACTTCCTGGAACTTAAATTCTACTAGGGAAAAGACAATTAGATAAGTAATTACAAACAAATTTGATGTGCTTTGTGTTAAAAATATGGGGTGCTGAGGTGATACAGATCCAAGGGGCTTAACATTTAAGCTAAGAAGTAGGGAAGTTATCCAGGCCAAAGGGATGGGGTTGAGAGATGAGGAAAAGTGTTCCAAAGAAAAAGAATAAAGCGTGACAAACATCATGAAACTAACATTGAGAGAGACATGGCTCCTGCCATTAAAATATTTGCAATTTATTTGGAGAATCTAGAGAAAAAGCGTTCAATATCAGCCTTGTCTATCAGCAGCTAGTCTATCATATGTACTTGTGTTCACATGGCAAGTATATGTGAGCATGCAGAGAATGATAGATGGGGGACAGAAGTAGGGATGACCCAGTGGGAGTGAGACTTCTCGATACTACATATCTGTTTGCATACCTTGGATTTTTGGACAATGTGAATGGATTACCTATTGAACAACAAACAAAAAATAAGCAAGCAAACCAAAAATGCTAAGCTGTTTGGGCAGACCAGGGAAGCAACAGGAATTTAGGGGAGTTAGAAACGGATATAGACCACAGGAATTAGAATATCCTAGGGAAGGCGCTGTCAGAGCTGTTAAGAAGGCTTGGCTATGTGGAAGGCATTATGGGTAAGGAGAATGGGGAGACTATAGGAGGGAAAGTATGGATTTGGGCAGAAGGGCATTTTGGGGGAGCAGTGAGAGAGGAGGCCATAGATTCAATATAGAAGGGGCACCAACATCTCACTCAGATTTGATGATGCTGGCAGTGAGGAGCTATTGAAGGTATTTGAGAAAAGGTGATGTCAGTATTCTTACTTAGGCTTTTTATTTAGCATTTGGATCTGGAAACATGGGGAAGGAGTGAGATTAGAGAAGCCAAAACAGTGATCCCACTGTCCTGGCTTAAACTTTTGCCAGGCATACCCCTTCTGTCTAAGATTTCAGCTTAGCATGTGACCCACCTGAGATACTTGGCTACAGCTTCTGCTTAGCTGGTCAGGATCAACCTGTGCAAAAGATGGGTCAAAAATGATCTGATTCCTGAAGGACATTTTCTATCATAACTGCTGATGCATTCTGAAATCAACCATGTCTTCCATTGTAGGGAAATACAAAGATTAATACTTTCAATTGGGCTAAAATCCGCAAGTTGAGTTTTAAGAGAAAACATTTTCTCATCAAACTTCACGCCAATATTTTGGTAAGTAGGATTCTAACAAATTCTTACTTTCTGTTCACTTGGAGTTTCTTGGTTGTTTCTGCAAATGGTTTGAATATGAGTGGTGAAAGTTGGTTGGCCCTTGGGGGGGATGTACCCCTCTTTTGTCTCTACATAGATGAACCAGAGCTTTAGTCACATTTCTGCTAAAGATAAAACACCAAGAACTCTGATTTGAAGTTCATAATAAATAAAGTAACAGGAAAATGGGGCAGCTGGAATCAAAGGCAAATCTCCGAGGAAACTACTTTTGAGGGATTTGATGAGTCAAAATGGGAGTAACCAGACCTAGGAATATAGAAATAAATCATTTGATTGTCTCTTCTCCACTTTAAAAAGTATTTTCACTTACTTCCCTTAAGCAAAAATTATTAAAACCTTAATACATGCCTAAGTCAGGCAGGATGTAGAAAGTGGGTAGACATGTAAGCAAGTTCAGGGTGAGACAAAGGTGCCAGAAAGGATGCTATTTTAGGACCATGAAGGAAAAGAAACCTGTGTATGAACTAATTTTTGTTCTCCAGAAGACTCAATTTGACCTTCCATCTCTGGATCTTGAAGTTATATAAAAGCATTCATCAAAAGTGTTCATCTGCAGTTCAGGGGGTCTACTGTGAAACTCATGGAGAGCCCCAGGGGCTGCAAGTAGGAACCTGGAAAGGAATTGGGCGGAGCAGGGGGGGAGGTCAGTGCAGTGGGTTGGTGGGGCTGCTGAAAACAGGACTATGAGCATGCCATGTACCCTTGGGCTAGTGGGGGTATGTAGTGAGTCAGGGGATGGGAAAAACTTGAGGTTTAGGTCGGGAAAGCCAAGGTTCCCTAGGACAGATTCAAATGTGCTAAAATAGCAAAACACAACATCATAGAACATGAGAGCATATAGAGGAAGTATTTCTACCTGGTACATTAAAAAGACCTGTGTACATGTAATTATCCTATAAACCCTTCCATCTGCAAGGAAATCTCCTCCTCCCTCCCCTTTCCTGTTGGTCATTTGTAACTTCTTGTCACCTTGAAAGGATGCCCTTTGATGTTCATTTTAACCTAATTTACAACTTCATGAAAATGTTCCTGGCAGAGAAGAAGCAGGGCAAAAAAAAAGCGTTTAAGGCAAGGGGAGTGTGCAAAAAAAGACTGGCTTCGTAGAGAAGGCTCTGTTTGTGAGCAGTGGCCCTGTCTGCTCCTCGGAAGGTTGCCAATCATTTGGTCTCAGTAGGTGTGAAGCCTATGGGGAGCCAAGTGGAAAATCAGAAGCTGCCTGGGCCACTGGATCCATAGCTTAGAAAGAAGGCGTTGAGAATTGAAGGTCTTTGATAATCTGGAAGGATGTTTTGCTTGATGGAAATTGGTTTATACAGGTGCTGTGCAAGGATACTTTGGAGTTCACCATGGCCAGCCGAGATGCCTGCAAGGCTTTCTGGAAGACTTGTGTGGAGTACCATGCTTTCTTCAGACTTTCGGAAGAGCCCAAATCAAAGCCCAAAACCCTACTCTGCAGCAAGGGCTCCAGTTTCCGCTACAGGTAATTGCATCCTGCATATAGGAAAACTATGCGCACTACTTCTTTTCAATAACACGGGAAGCAAAAGGAAGAGTGTGAATTCCAGAAGCAATAAAGAATCCATTGCAGTCACTTGAAAGATTATGCCTATTACTGCTCATTCTTGGTATGGTGCATTTATTCAGTATATCCTAACTGGGAGGCTAGGAGGAGAGGCCACCCTACCAAAGGGGTTGGGTCAGAGTCACAGCAAGGACAGGGGGACACAAGCAGTTTGAGAACATGTACTCAGCGAACCTATTGTTTCTCTTATATGCACTTCACATGCAAGCCATGGAAAAGAAAGCTCAGTAACATCCTTTGGGTGGTGGCTAGGAAAGGTGGAATGAGAAGGCACTGGAATGGATAAGGAGGAGTTAAAAGGATTGAGACAGTACACCGGAAGCTTCTCACTACAGGTCACACCTTGGAGGAATGGAAGCAAGGTCAAATTAAGATCTTGTTTTTACTTGAACACACCAACCTTGGAATTCATTGGAAGAAGCTTTCAAAACTCAGCTAAGTTAAAAAAAAAATCTAATCAAATGCTTCCACATAAGGGATTTTTCAAATCATGGAAGCCTGCCACGGTAAGAGTTGAGATATTTTTTAAAAACATGTTTTGATGGAATCTTTCCAAAGTGTATTTGCAAATCCCTCCTTCTTAAGCAGATGACACTAGCATATTTTGCCCTTTTCTTAATGACCTGAGTTATTATAAACATCACTTATTATCCTCTGCAGCCAGCTGTAGTACAGTGATGGCCTCAGGGCGGGGGAGGCATGTCAGGTTTTGCACTTCAGTGATAAATAGCCCAGACTTTGGGGATTTTATTATTCTTGCGATTTCTTTGTTGGTGCTTATGTTTCTCCCCAAAGTCAGCTGCATTTCTTTGCTAGTGTATGTCTGGTTGGAGCAATCCTCTTCTACTGCTTAGTTAGTTGCTTTTCTTCTGCCATGGATTGGTAAACCAGTTAAGTAGCTTCATAAGGACTAGTGTGTAAAATAAGGTCAGTTGGATCTTTAAAATTTTAAAATAATTTCTGGGTTCTGTTTTGTTGCAGTCGCTCTATTCCTGGTTCTTGGATAAATGGGTATTAACATTAATGTGATAGTCAGTGATTCAGCACATAGGTCACTCATCCAGATGCTTTTGGTTTCAACAATAAACGGGACTTTCAAGTTTGAATAGCCTATTGACTTATGGTGGAATTTTTTTTTTTTTTTTTTGCTTATCTTTATGACAGTGGAAGAACTCAAAGGCAACTTTTGGAATATGGGAAAAAAGGGAGGTTAAAGAGTTTGCCATTTGAAAGGTATATGCTTTTGTTTCTCTCTCATGTTGGTTTTAAGTTGAATTTAGAGATTTATATTCATTTCAATGACTTCTCTGTTTGGGGGATTTCAGGAAACATTACCCATCTCAGTACCATGAACGACAGTGCAGGTCGTCGCCAGACATCCTCTCAGATGTGTCAAAACAAGTAAGGTTTCTGAAAAATTCCTCCTTCTTTAGATAAATGTACTTTGTCCCAATTTCAAATGCTTCCAAGAATTGATTCTGCCAGAATCTCCCAGTGTGTATAAAGGTTACTCTGTTCGAGTAAGTTAGCCTCCCAGGGAGGTCTGCTGTCTCAATCTTTCCTGCCAATAGACCATTTAGTAAACTAGCACTGGTGTGTATCTTATAGACTGGAAGAGTCTGACACCCCTTCAAATTGCAACCTGTATTGTTAACATCTTGCAAAAAAAACCCCAAAAACAGACCCAAAGAAATTTCTCTGACTTTATATTTCTAAAAATAAAGGCTCTACTATTTTATCTGTGGAAATCAGAAGGCTCAGAGGAAGTATAAGGTCTTGTGTTAAGGTTTTAAAGTATTTTTTTTTGCTACTTAATTGTGTAACTTAATTTCAGGAGGAAGTATTGTTGCCCTGGAAATGAGATGATGGCTTCATTTGAGTTTTATAGTATGAACCTTGTTAATCATTTTTCTTTGGATCTCTCTATAAAAATTAAAGAACTTGCATGCCTTCATTCAATGCACAGTTTTTATCCAAAAAGTATCAGAGGTGTAATGATGAATGGTAAACTCTCATGCCCTTCAGAACCCTCCTCTTCATCTTTTTGCAGAAAATAGAGCAGCAAGGTTAGGAAACTTGCCTAAGGTCACACAGCAAGTAAAAGGCAGAGGTGCCAGGATTCATGGATAACTTGGAGGCTGGAAATGGGACGTCGCAGAGAAAGAATAGTGCTGCATGTGCTTTAACGTAGGATAGGACATGGTGCAAATTATTACCCTTTCCATATATATGTATATATACATTTATCAACCCTGGAATGGAACATGGATTGAAATAATTTTGTGAAATCTACTTTATATAACTCAAGCCTAACTTAAGCCCCTGCTCCCATGCTAACTAAATGATTTTTTTTCCTTCTTTCACCAATGATCTTTTCTTTTCTTTCAAGGTAGAAGATTTGAGACTAGCATATGGTGGTGGGTACTACCGAAATGTGAACGGAGTGCACGCATCCGAGCCTATGTTAGATAGTAGGAGGAGGAACTCTGCAGTGGAGGTGACCTTTGCGGCTGAGCTGGAACGTTCCAAACCAGAGGCAGATCCCACATTGTTACACCAGTCTCAGAGCAGTTCCTCTTTCCCCTTTATTTATTCAGAGCCTGTCTTTAACCCTGACCCTGATCCAGATCCCACAGACTTCTTTGAGGAGAGGAGTCCTCTAAGCTCCTTCCAAACGAGCTCCCGGTGTGCTGACAATCACGTCAGCACATCTTCAGGCCTCACAAGCAAAGTGAGTCCAGCAAGGCAGCTAATGTACACAGATGTGCCCTATATTCCTCATACTACTCAGCAGGTTGACATTATGCCTCCCCAAGTCTTTTTTTATGTGGACAAGCCACCCCAGGGACCCAGACGGTCTCCAGTCATGGCAGAAGAAAGGCCAAGACCAGACAGCTATATAGAGCCCACTGCAATAAGGCCAGCCAAAAGAAGCCCAAGAAATATCAGAATGAAGACCTTTCAGCGGGACCTTCAAGAACTTCAAGAAGCCATGGCCAGGACTAGTGGTAGGAGCAATGTCAGTGTAAATCTAGAAGAGGAAGACCCAAATTTAGAAGATGCATTTGCACATAACTTTCAAGAGCAAACCCCAAAAAGGTCCCAGAGCCAATCTGACATGAAAACTATCCGTTTTCCTTTTGGGTCAGAATTTAGGCCTTTAGGGCCTTGTCCTGCTCTGAGTCGTAAAGCAGACCTATTTACATGTCTGTTTGCAGAGCAGGAGTTCCGAGCAGTTCTAATGGATCAGAGTACAGCAGAGAGGTATGTAGCCAGTGAATCCAGTGATTCTGAACCAGAGATTCTGAAGCCAGACAACTACTCTTTGTATGGCAAACGGACAAAATCACCCATGGCCAGAATCCGCTTGTCTTCTGGTAGCCTACAGCTAGATGAAGAAGATGAAGATGTTTCAACATACCAGCTACTGAAGACAGGACTTCGCTAGAACCATGCAATTACCTCTTAGCTTAAAAGTGTGAACTCAGTGAACATTTGTGAACCAGGTCCATGTTACTATTTTAGGTATGAAATAAGGTACTTTTAAATAAGCCTTTTCTTGGACACTCTTAATTGATATTGAGGGAATCGTCTAATTTTGGGCACCAAACTTAGGTGCCTCATTCCCTAAGCTATACTCGTCTGTTTCCTCTGAACAGATTCTGGAAAATGCCTTCTCCTCCCCAGCAATGTGCAGGGAGAGGGAAGTAAATACGTTTCTTTATACACACATTATAGATGAAGGGTATGCATTGAAGAACGTTGACGATATAGGTTGGCGTATGGAATTGGCTTCTGATGTCATTTTGCGAGTTTTATACTTATATAATACTAAACAATGATTTCAGTCTTCTTATTTGTATGTGCCCCAGTAAAAACAGGTTTTTTTGGTGGTACTGTAGGGGGCGTCCGGCCCTCCCACAGCCTCAGGAACAAGGTGGTAGTATAGATTCTCCCAAGAAACACATATTTAAAATTAATATAGGACTTGGCAGAATTCTAAACCCAGGAAATTAATTAGGCTAATTTGTATATTCCTAATGAGGATGTTATGATGTTTGATTTATAACTTCTCTATTCTTAACTCTTATATGTAGTGAGATGAAATTAATGTTAGTTTGTTTATCGAATCTCTCCTGCCAGAATTTATTTTTGCCTTATCTTTGTTGCATGTATGTAGGCAAGAAAGTGAGATGTTATTTTAATAAAGAGTGATGGAAAATTCATTCAATTGAAAAAGCTGTAAGTATGGTCTTCCTTTTGTTTTAATCAATTTCAGAAGTGCTTGGCTCTGGCTTATTACTAAGGAGCAGAACAAGGAAAAGGAGGGTTAAGTAAAGATGTATGGTCAGGGATGAAGTGGAATTGATGGGTAGGTGAAAAAGGAAATGACATTACTGACACTAAGCTGTGTTAATGATTCAAAATTCTATTCTTGACCCATTCAAAATTTCTCTACCAGTTCTCCTGGGAGATATATTTGAGAACTTTATTTTGCTTACTGATCATATTGTTAAGTCTAACATATTTCCAAGACAATGTTAAATACAAATTTCAAAGAAATGAAGGAATCAAAAAACTATTTTTATATATGACTTAATGGGGAAAAGATGGGTGAAATAGTTTTACTCTCCTAGTCCTTACATCAGAAAAATCCCTTGTGCTATACCTCATTGCACCCGTGGGTGCATATGTAGTAACACACAGGTCTAGAGTATGGATTTAATACTAAGAATATATTGAAGCCCAATCACCTATACATTAATTCTACAGATTCTTGAAGGTATTTAGACTTTACCTCAACCTTCTCACTAGGAAAAACTCAAACTCCTATTTCTCATTTCATCTCAATTTCTGGAAATCTTTACCAGATGTATAATTTTCCACAAGAACTCTAGGGTTCAAATGTGTATGCAATCTTTTAATAAAATGGTAATTAGGGAGGCCATATATTGTCTAACCAAGGACATTTTTGAAGGGAACTTTATTAATAATTTTGTCAAGATAGGAGACAGAAATTAGGACCTATGTTTAGTTAGCTATACTCAATTCTAAACATGTGAAGACTATTTGCTAGTTTACAACAGAAAGTTTGGTTATTTTGTTTCAATAATAAATTAAGACAAAGGAGCAATATTGTGAAACAATAAAAATAATACACCATACCCTCCCAAGAAAACAAACATTGAGGATCACGAAATTTAAATATTTATTTTTAAAACCCGAAACACTGGCGTATGCTTCAACTAAAAAACAGTTTGCAGGACTAATAACAATAACGAATAAGCAGTGCAATTCGCATTTGTGATGCAGTTATGTTTTAAAGTTTCATGTAATCAGTTTATAAACTTGTTGCTTTCACTTTTACAAAAATACTCATCTAATCTATGAAATGAGTTGCAAAATTATTTCCAGAACCCTACAGATAACAAACTTGTTACTGAGTTTCAGTTACACAGCAGATGAAAACTCTAACTGAACCATTATTTCAAAATACAATGCATTAAAAGTAATTGTTACAGTGTAGGCACCAATGAAAAGAAGTTTCTTGGCATATGACACCACAAGTTTCTCAAGTGTTTGCATTTAAAAAAAGAGGATATAATGGCCACTTTGACTAAAAACTGCATTTTTTACTTGTAGAACATTTTTCTTCTAATATTTGGCAATTATTCAGATTAAAAAAAAACTACTTGTGCAAAAACCAAATGTGCAGATCCAAACAATAAAACATTAACTATCAAAAGTAATTAATATCAATAATTCTACATCCACTAAAATATAGCTCCAGTTCAGCACTTAGGCAAGCATAATATATATACTGGGCTTAAAAGAAAAGGGTATTACCCACTTAACAGTACCATAAATATAATTGAAAATTAACTGTACAGTCTAACTTACCTTTTCATGGACAGAAATCATCCTGTACTATGATTATTTTCATATGAACTGTGAAATGTTCATTTAAATACCCTTTCAAAAGTGAACACGCAATGCTTATGTACTGATAATTATGAAGAAGAAAAATGTATAAATAGTTATAGGACAATTTACTACCATGACAAAAAGATGCTGGTGTTAACTTATATTCATACCTGTTGATCAGGTATTTAATCATCTCACATGACAGTCAGCTTTTTGAAAGCTCTTTAAATCCAAGCATATAACAAATGTAAGGTTTTCCCAAAACTATAGGGCTCAAATCTGTTGAGTTGAAGATTTAAAGAATGAAGCCAGACTAACTCCTCCAGTATAACCAAAATCCCATCCTTGGCTAAATGATACTGCTTTAAATGTCTAAGCATATTAAATAAGGGTTAATTGCCTCTTCCATTTAAAAGAGAAGATAAATACTGCACACCAAGAGGTACTTCTGTTGCTACATGTTGCCTGTAAATGCTTCAAACACAGGGCTCTCAAATATGATAATCACTGAGCTGCCTGGAATTTATGGCAACTTGGTGGAAGAGTCAATACTTTTCTAGATTTCATTTGCAAGAGCTTATTAAAAGCTTTTGTTGTAAGAAGGTATGTACTATTTCTACCGCTCCACAAATAGTCTACTTAGGAACATGCTTGTGTAAAAAAATGTTCTTTGAAGTTTGATGATTTACAAATGGCGAATATTTATGATGACTTTGAAAGACCTGTATGTTTCATGAGTGTAAAATTAATTGAAGTTTAAAATGCAAAAAGGTATTTACTCTAGTAACTTAAGAAATAATGATACCTAAAAGCAAAACTGTATCTCAACATTTACTACAACTATAGTATTAAAAGTTATTCCTTACAAAATCATCTTTTTAAGATACAAAATGATAAACACCATCGCAAAATCATTGAATAGCTTCTTCCAAATCTTCAATGTTGCAAAGATCCAAAAGGCACATGGAGCTCATGAATTAAGCATTGTTAAGCTTGAAGTAGCTTTGGTGGGTTTCTCTGGGTCCACATGAAACAGAAGCCAACGATAAGAAATTTCTCAGGAGGATTCATTTGCAGAACAGCTAGAAAATTCAGAAAAACTTAAATTTGATGTACAATTATGCTTGTTTATATTTATCACATTTATGAACTCTGTAATGGAGGAATGGATTCAGTAAAGATGATAAATTCTTTTGATTGACTCTCATGTAGATGTTAAACTATAAAAGTCCCTTCTGCATCTGATTTTACAACTTCCAATTGATTTGCTTGTAAATTAGAAAACAGATGGGAATTTTCCATTAGAATCTAAGGGATTTGTTTTTTTTTTTTTGTAGTGAAACTAATAGCAAAGTTTATTAGAAAAGGAATATAGTATAATAGGATAAAAGTACGTAGAGGAATGGGAGTAAAGACTTCTAGAATCTAAAGGATTTTATTAAGACAACTTTATCTTAGGAGTACAGGTGGGCTTTTTTGGATAGAAAGAGTTTTTAGAGTGTTGGATTTTACAGGATATATAGTTTGTTCCACCTGGATCCCAGCTGGCATGATGAATACACGGAAATCTAAAGATGCACTGAGAATAGATATAATGGGTTTAAAGTTAAAATCTGTATCACTTTTTAACTTGCTAAAGCTAATGTCTGTGCATGCCTACAAAAGTCTTGTTTCAGAAAATAATTTTAAAATTAAACATAAGAACTTTTTTGAACTAAATCAAACAAATAGTTCAAGGACAGTACGGAAACTGAAGTACAACATAATGGACTGAGATCCTCTACCTAAAAATCTTTTCCTTAACTTTTTATTTTGAGACAGGCCATCTTGGCCTGAACTGGCGATCCTCTGCCTCCCAAGTACTGGGATTAGAGGTATGCACCAACATGCCTGGTTCCTTAGCTTTTCATAAGAGTTCAAACTCAGGAATTTTAGCACTGGAAACTATACAGACAGTGGTGTTTCTGCAAACGCTGAGGGAATGAAAGCATTCCTAAATAATGTTTACAAGTGCCCAAATAAGAACATGGTCATGACCTTTTGTCTATACTTATACTAGTGGAGGTGGGGAGAGGGGTAGGGGTAGAGAGAGAGAGAAAGAGAGAGAAGAAGAAGCTTTCTTTTATTCAGTGGAAAGCTACTTTACAGGGAGGTAAAACAGGTCCTATCTAGGGGTTGGTACCAGTGTGAGGGGGAAGATATAAGGAAAGGGTGAATATGCTGGAAATATATGTACTCATGTATGAAAATGGAAAAATGAGACCTGTTGAAACTATTCTAAGAGAGGGTAAAGGAAAATGATGGAGGGTGTGAATTAAATTAAAATATATCGTAAGCACTTTTGTAAATGTCATAATCTACCCCCAATACAACAATAATATGATAATAAAAATTAAAAAATTTTAAAAAAGAAAACTACCTTGTGTCTAAACATAGTAATTCTAAAAGTTAACGTTTAAAGATGGGCAATCAGCAAAATTTTTCAAACATACAATTATGAAAAAATGATTTCATAGGAATAATTTAAATGATTGCATCTAAATAATTGTATTGTAAATTAACATCCAACAAAAACATTAATATGATTCTTTAAGAATGACAATTTATGCTTACTTCTGAAATTTTTCAATCAATTTCTTCACCATTTTATCCGTGATGCCAGGACAGGTGGCTTCGGCCACAGCAATACTTTTCTCAAGTTCTTCAATTGCCTGGTTCCTGCTTGCATTATTCTCATCCTGCTGCTTAAGCTGAGACAGATTGTTTGCATAACATTTAATATATGACATTACTACAAAGAGGCGGCCAATGCTAAGGAAGCAGCACTTACTTCAGCAAAGGCAGGTGTGATGATCATAGACAAACAGCTCAGGGTTTGCACAAGGTCTTGCTCCTTTGAATAAATAATACAGATTGCACACATAAAATTATCATAAATCCTTCATGGATTTTCAGTTATTCTATAATGAATGTGAATTAATTTGAATTCCTCCTTCAAAAGACCCTAATAAGGCAAGTCCTTATGCTTTCTTTCTGTTACTAATCCCATCCATTTACCTGAAGCCCCCAAACTTTCAAAAGATATCTATGATTCCTTGGGCTTATGAAATGCGCTTTAAAAATACCAGTGGCTACTTAAGTGAATTCTATTATCTTTTCTTCATTAGTTCAAAACTAATGATGAGTGTACATAGTGAGGCAGACAGGCCTGCAGGGCTATTAAATTCTAACGATTGTGCCCATTATAACCTTGCTACATAGTTTAAAAGTCTATCAAGAGGAAGTGACGGTCTCCATGTACATACGGCCCCATTCTGTAGTTTCTTGGGATCAGGCTTCTTTCTCACAGTGGTGAAACTCCATTCAGGATGAGTATTATTTTCTCTGCTGGTGGATTCCCTAAAGAGATTGCCAAAGATACTTTTATAAACTCCTAAATAATTCAGCATGGTAAAAACACCATATCAATGCAGGCAGAATCTGAAGAGATAATTATCCCAATGTTTAAAATCTCATAGTAGAAAAGAGCATTTGATCTCAAGTTCAGGTGGATACTGCATTTTACTAAAGAGTAGCAGTGTTTCTCAACTTTAGGTGTGTATCAGAATCCCATGGGGAACCTCCTACATATATAAACACCTGTCTTCCACCATTCCTCAGTGACTCAGTCAAGATCTCCAGCAGTGTGGCTTGTGCCTTAAGGCTCCATTGGGTGACTTCCATGAGCAGCTAAGGCTACCATTAGAATAGGTATCGACTACCCTGGTATATTTTATCTACTTCAAATATTGGGCAATTTCTTATAAATGTAGGAATCTGAGAGTATTATCTAAAGAAATTTGGTGTTGCCTCGGTGCCAATTCACCTACTAGAAGAGTAAATTCTGGTATAGCCTACAGACTCTCCTAGTCAAAATTAAGATAGGAAACTAGAGGTTGAATTATTAATATAAATACTGTCATTAAAAACACTATCTTTTTTAAGGGGTGAAAAATCACACATAAATGAATATTTCAATGTACCAGTTTGATCATGGTTTGGTACATGGCCAAGAGGAAGGAAAGGCCTGGAGGTCATGCTTCCAGAGGGATTCTGCAGGCTGTTGTCAAAGTATGAGAAAATATAGCTTCTCATTACTTTTTGGATAATGGATACAACACCTTTAATTAAATTTTATTCCCAAATTTTGTAATATACGCAAGTATCCACTAGGGGTTAGACCAAGACCATTTAAAACTAGAGCTATTCACTTCTGAGAAAAGCATGCTTCCAAAATTCACTGTATTCCACAGACTGTGACTAAAAAGGAATTTCACAGATTGTGAGGTGAAACCTCAGAATATGGTTCATACTTTATGCTACAGTAAGCACGCGGGATCATTGCTAAAAGATATAACATATTAAAATAGGCCACCTACATAAAAATGAGAGAATGTGTACATACGAATCAGAGCCCTCGGAATCAGACTCATCATCACTGTGTCCTTCTGCCTTCCATCTCTTAAACCGATCTATCAGTTCAGTCAGATAAGAAGTCTTCTTTGAATTTTTAACAATGAATTTATGTTTCAAAAGTTCTTTAGCTGTAGGACGCTAAGGCAGAAAATGAAGGATGCATGACTATTTCAAGGCTCTTTATGATTGCAAGGGGTGGTAAAAATCATTGGAATTACTAAGCTGAAATGTATAAAAGTATGTCTAGTGACACGAGGACAATTAAAGTGTTGTAGAAAAATACCTACTTCTATTTTTGAGGTGGCTCCAAGCAACCACATTAAATGTAGTACTGTGGTGCCCAGTTTGTTAAAACCCAATGGGCAGAGAGTAGCTTATCTACCAGCAAACCAGCAGACAAAATCTTCTTAAAAGCAAAGTAATAAATGGTAGGATTTAGAAAGTAAACACTTAAAAATATTTCTGAAGTGTTTTTTGTTGTTGTTGTTGTTGTTTCTTTCTTTTTGGTATGAGGTTTAAACTCATGGCCTCAGGCTTTCTAGGCAGGCACTCTACCACTTGAGCCACTCTGCTGGCCCCTTAAAAATATTTCAAAATAATGCTTTTAAACTTTTACCACATTTACTGTATATCAAAAAAATCACAGAAAGTAGTAAGGTTGTAATTTTGTTGTCATCTGCATGCAACTTATGAACTCCTGCTTTTGTTCTTATCTGCCCACAACTTATAATCTCTATCAAGCATGAATTCCTATTGCATCTAAATGCAAACATCAGGTGCAGTGGAGATATTTTCCTTCCAGTATTTTATTAATATCAGAATGTTCATTATCAATGTAAAAATAGTTATATCAAGCTTAGATAGTTCTTACATAGTTGAAATCTCTGGAAAACAACCATAATAAAATTTCCTGGAAGGAGCTTACTAGACCAGTAAAAGTACACAACTTCATGATGGAGTTAAATACTAAATAAAAGCAGTTAAATATAAGCACAGCTTTCATGAAAAATGAATATATATTTGAAAAAATCATGAATATTTATATATGTACTTAATAATTAAATAATCTAAAATGAATTTTGTTTCTCAAAATTTTCTCCTTGAAATAGGAAATGCTTAACAGAATAAGTAGGAAGCTGGGAATCTAGACATAGATGCCAGGGAAGGAGAAAAGGAACTAAGGATCCGGTTAAGAACTGAATAGAATTAGCAACTCAGAGGAGAAAACCAGGTTCCTAGATGGATCTCAGATGGTTTTCACACATTGTTTTCTCCATGGTAGGAAAAGCTACCCTTGTTCTAAGTAGATCTATAACAGAAAACAAATAGCAGTAATAGCAATGTGTACTCACAAATGATGGATCTTTATTCAGGCAAGCATCAATAAACTCCTTAAAAGACTTAGTAAAGTCTCCAACAAGAGTTGGAGGATTGTTCTTTGGAATAAGAAACAGAACTCTCATTGGATGCATATCAGAGTTAGGTGGCTCTCCTTTGGCTAACTCAATAGCAGTGATACCCAGTGACCAAATGTCAGCCTAAAGTAAGAGAAAGAAAAAAGTACATTACCTTGAAACCCAATTTCAACATACTGCCAAAAGTCTATAGAATGGAATGGGCAGATTGTATAAAAGTCTCTCAAGAAATGTGGTGTTAATACATATTTATTAATATAGTCCACTTATTTAAAATTATTGCATTCTGTGCCAGGCACCATTTTAGGTATGGAAGAGTCAGGTGGTGAGCAAGCCAGACAAAAATCTAATAAGATTGACAGATAAATAACTAATAGAATGTCAGATGGTGCAAAATTCTATGAAGAAAAACGATAAAGCAGAGTAAGGGAATAATGAATGCCAGGGTGACGAGAGTTGCAAATATACACAGGGGAAGCTAGGGAAGACATCTCTCTGCAGACAGTGTGCAAATGGAGACTTGATTGGGAGAAAAGTTATTTCTGACAAAAGGAAAGACCAGAGCAAAGGTTCTGAGGCTAGAGTGTACTTGCTGTGTTTGAGGAACAACAATGAGGCCACTAGGGTTAAAGCAGAGAGTACAGAACAGAGTGGTAGGATATGAAGCTGGTGAGGCAGGCAATGGCCGCATCATTTGGCACCTTGTATGTCTCAGAAAGAACTTTGGATTTTATTCCAAGTGGGACAGAAAGTTGAAATCAATAGGGTCAAACTGTTACCAGTATGACATAAGACTTCCTTAAGAAATACTCGAAAAATAAGGACAAATAAAGTATATTAACTAAGATACCACACTGTATAAAATTTATTAATAAAAACAGTCTATCTAGGTAATACTTTACTTTTGAGTCATAAGCTGACTGTTGAATAACTTCAGGAGCCATCCAAAACGGAGTTCCCACAAAGGTGTTTCTTTTAATTTGTGTATCTGTCAGCTGGCCAGCAACTCCAAAGTCAGCAAGTTTAACCTCTCCTTGTTCGGACAGCAACACATTGGCAGCTGGGAGGTAGTGAAAAAGGAAAAGCAAACCTCAGATTCTGCAGAATGCATTCATTTTTCTCAGGCTCAGATCAGACTGCTGTATACCTTTTATGTCTCGGTGAATTTTCTTTTCCGAATGCAGATAGTCCAGACCTTTCAAAATTTCCTTTAGCATGGTAGCAATCTGGAACTCATCAAATGGGCCAGCTCTCAGCTTAAGGAGAAAAACACACAGACACACATGCTTAAAAGTTTGCAAAAATAAAATTCAAAACTGGGGTCTTTGAAATAAGGGACTCACTTAGACAAAAGAAAGCTATTCTGTTTATTAAACCAACATTTGAACAAATGATGACAAAATTTTAAAAGGGAGGGAAGAAAGCAAAGAATTGTATCAAAGCGCTGGAAAAATTTCTAAATGGTTAAACTTAATCTTAAAAGATGATACAAGCACTTTTACCTAGACACTAACTCTACATTCTGAGGTTTCTAAAATTTACAAGAAAGAGTTAAGAAATATGTGCAAATAATGACAATGTATCTTTTTTCCACATGGGAAAAACAAATCATCTACTTAAATTCTGGCATTTGCTATTAAAAGTCACTAAATAATTGACACTGAGCTGATTTTTTGATCAGACAACCCATAAGATTTCCATAGCAACTATTTGGTCATATAGCTCAACTGTGGCATAGTTTTTAATATTTTTGTGAGTCAATAATACTATAAAGAATGGAGCCTTTTTGAAAGACTCAAAAGTTAAATCTAGCCCACGAATATAATAATTAAACTATTCAGACTTTCATTGTAAAAAAAAAAACCTAAAATCATGGAGAAATGATACTTTTCAAATAAATGTAACACATTTTCCTTTCTTTCCCCATCCCTGTACCACAGCCAATAGCTCCAACTGGAATACAAGGAAAGCAATGACTGGGTTTCAGAAGAACTTATAATGGAATATCTGAAAATCTCTCTTTAAAATAAATGGTTATTTTAAAATTCTGGTACCTCATAAAGCACAAACAGTGGACTGTACAATATTATTACAGGAAAGGGTGGGGAATCCAGAGTCAGAGCAGAGGTTGAGTTCTGTTTGCTGGAAGGAGGGAAGAGGTGGTGAAAATCAAACATCGCCCACTCTGCCTCATACTGGGAGGGATTCACAGCTCTTTGGCACCTTGTGTATTTCATCTTTCATGAATGCTGTATTTATGCTGAATAAAGGGCACTTTCATGTTGAAATGTAATAGCTTAAAATAGAAGCCATGTTTTGGTCTCACCATTTCATACTGACTGTGGTCTGGGTATATAGTATACTCCAGGGATGTCTATAATTCAATAGGTCCCTTCCCTAAGTAACACTATCTATTTACTTTCAAATCTATCAACTTCCACCTCAAAAAGTTTCTATTTAAACAGTAGTGATTAAAGGCATTCTTAAGGTGAAAACGAGATACTTTATGGGGGCCTACCAATGAAATGCTGAGGTACTACCAAAGAACTGAAGGACAAACATCACATTACTTAAGACCTGTACTTCGTATCACCTGACCAGCAAACATTGGGAGGGCCCAAAGGAGGCATACCCTTGGTACTTGTGAACTTGGGCAAGATCCACTTAAGGCAGGACTAGCTATCAATCTGAAGGATTTCTAAATGTGGCATGGACAAGCCAGTATGCTACCTAATACAGAAATTTTAAAGTATTCAGTAAGAACAACAAAAAGGAGGGTGTCCTAAAGACTCATTAGCTTGTCTTCTATATTTTAGATTTAGTTGAAAATTCAATAAAAGTAAAATCTCAATTGGGTGTTGAAAGGGGATGGGAAGGAAGACTCTGTGGCAGGGAAATGGGCAAAGGGAGGTGGTGCAGATGGGTTTTTCTGGTTCCTTATCACACAGAAAACTCAGACTTTGTGGTTAAAATGTTTCTTTAGGCATGCTGGTAGTGATGAGAAAAGAACAGCAAAGGGCTTAGAAAGAGCAGGAAAGTAACATAAATGGAACACAAGGCTTTGGTTTTCCTTTTAAATTTCAAATAAGACCTTTGGAGAGATAATGGCAAGTTCTTGATGTACTTTTCTAGGAATGCATAACTGAACTTCTGTCCAGTGACTAAAGACCAAGCCTCCAATAGGTAACACCTCTGCTCCAGGGCAGTGTGCTGTCCTTGTGTAATTTACCTTGGTTGTCAAGTGAGAGTATGCAAAAGAGGGACATTTGCTCTTTTAAAGACCATTGGAAGTCCTGAGTTCAAGGCCCAGCACTGCTTAAAAAAAAAAAAGACCAGTGCACACTTGTGGGAGTGTGGATTTCCCCCCCCACTCCTTTCAGTCTAGCAAGTCCTTAATGTAGTATGCTATGCCTTTTTTTAATTTGCTGATACGTATTTTTGTTGTAAGCTACTATACTCTTTTGGAAAGAAATGAGGCATAATAAATTAAATAAAATAACATAATACACTCGAAATCTGTTCCCATGCAAAAAATGATTTTTTAAGAATGAGACTCTTGCGGTAGATACTATATAGCATGGACACAAATTGCAGGTCATGATTTCATGTTATTCTATTAGTTAGGCCCCAGTTTAAAGTGAAAGACACTGTGTGACATCATTTTTCTCTTTTTCCTCTGTACTCAATTCTTTCTTAGATTCCCACAATGGAAGCATTCATTCATAGTTGATTACACATGACAAGAGAATAGCACATTTTTGTTGGGCACTGGTGGCTCACACCTGTAATCCTAGCTCCTCAGGAGGTAGAGATCAGGAGGATCACAGTTTAAAGTCAGCCCCCGAAATAGTTCACTAGACCCTATCTCTAAAACATCCATCACAAAAAAGGGCTAGTGGAGTGACTCAAGGTGTAGGCCCCGAGTTCAAGCCCCAGTACCTCCAAAAAAAAAGCACATTTTGTCAGCATTTGTTATTCTTCTAATGTCCAGATAAATGAGGTTTACAATTAAATCAAATATTATTGAGTTTTATTTATTTATATTGGTGGCACTGGGGTTTGAACTCAAGGCCTCACACTTGCTAAGCAGGCACTCTTTTTTTTCATTGTTTTTATTAATTTTTATTATTGTTGTGTTGGGTGGGGGTACATTGCAGTATTTACAAAAGTTCTTACAATATATCAAATATATCATACTTGAATTCACCCCCTCCACTGCTCGCTTTCATCCCCACTCCCCCAATTACTGGAACAGTTTCAATAGGTATCATTTTTGCATATGCTTACATGTGTACACATATTTTGTGCCACCTCCCCCTCCCCTCCTTGTCACTTCCCCCCAACAGAATCTGTTCCGCCCTTCTGTTCTCTGATTCTGCAGAAGAAAAAACATAAAAGATAATAAGAAAAACATAGTGTCTTTTGCTAGTTTGAAATAAAGATAGCTATACAAAGAGATTCCTAGTGTTGCTTCCATGCACTTGTGTATTACAACCAGAATTGGTTCATCTCTACCAGACCTCTTCAGTCCTTCCTGGTCACCTTCCCATAGTGGCCTCTTCCAGTTTAAGATTACTTTATTCGCTCCTCCACAGTGAGCACATCAACCACATTCAAGTTTTAAGTTTCCTTCCCTTTCCCTATTCCTCCCATGCACATTCTCCCCTTAGAGTGTGACCCATGTCCAATAATATTACTGCATTTGTTTTAGGTCTATAATCCACATATGAGGGAGAACACGTGATTTTTTTGGCCTTCTGAGCCTGGCTAACTTCGCTTAAGATGACATTCTCCAGTTCCATCCATTTACCAGGAGTGACCGCTTGAGTCACTCCACCAGTCCAATTATTGAATTTTAGAGCTAGGGAAACAGCAGTAGACATTTCTAACCCAATTCTTGATTTAACATTTGAGAAACTGAGGCACAAAGTAGTTGGCTTCCTCAGTATTAGCCAACTAGCCAGTGGCAAAGTTAGGACTAAGACTTCGGTCTCTAGATTCTGAGCCAATACAATGCTGATAACATTTTAATCCATTGAATTTATACTATTTGTTATTTTTTAGTAGGTAGAGAGAGTGGCAGGATGAGATTAAGAAATGATATTTCACTCACAGATTTCGTAAAACTCACCAAACTACCAGTAGGGGCTACAGATTAGGGTTGTTAGCTGTGGTTATGCCAAGTGTGAGATGTCTAATGTTGTTATTAGTGATCCTGAAAGAGTGGATTATCTTTGCCAGTGCCTACAAAATGGAGACATGGTGGGTGAGCATCTTGGGAGACAAAACAAGCAAAGGGCTCTCAGTATTTAAGAAGTGAAAGGAGGATTACAGAGCAATGATGAGGCTTCTTGTAGAGTTAATGAACAAACTATTACATAATAAGACCCTGTGAAAGGAAAACAGAAATGAAATCAGTTAACTTCAAGAATAGAATGAAGCCTGGTTCATATTTGTTAGCAATTACTATGGAAAGAAATACCAGTGATGTTCTCTCACTAGAGAGGAGAAAGAAAAAAATATAACAGAGTATACACAAAGAAGGATTACCAAACTCAGCAACTGTTTAAACTGCCATGACTTCTTAGAAGCAGAGGAGGTTCTCCATCAGATTTAGTTACCATTTCTTTAGAATAGAACTTAAGTTCTGCCTAAAGAAAAGACAGTCTCTTATGGTCATTTCCGTTCACAAGATTTTTTTGAAACTTTGAATCATTGGCAGTCATAGGGTTAAAGTCTTTTAAAATTAATTACTTTCAGTTAGGAAAACTAATGTCTACTGAAAAAATAAGAATTAAAATATTATGTGATGATTTCAATCAAAACACTTTTTCTTAGAAATAGCATGCTTTATAATTTCAAAGGCACGAATGTGTAAATAAAATACAAGTCATATAATATTAAAGCTGAAAGAGAACATAGAAATAATTTAGTGCAACTTACACCCAAATCCACGGAGTTTATGTGTCTGGTTCACAGTCACATTTAGTTGAGTAGAGCCAGCCCTATAATTTCAAACTCCCATAGGCCAGCCCAGTGGTCATTCTACTATAGGAAGTTATCTTTTATAATTCTTATTGCGTTGAAAATATGCCATATTAATAAGGGCCTTAAAGGGGAAAATGACATTGATAATATCACAAAACTTGGGGAAAACAGTGTTTTTTAAAGCATTCTGTATGTGAACACATCTTCATTGGGTATAATTTTTCCTGCACAGTGCAGGATTTTTGCATTCTAATACCTGCCCATTAAAGTGGCAGTAGCACTTTCAAGCCATTTTAGCAACCAAAAATGCCATCACATTCCTAAATGACTTATAGAGGGACAGAAAGAACTCTAGAGAACTATATCTGTAGGCCTTCTTGGTTCAAACTCCAGACCCACTGTCTTAGTCAGCTCAGGGTGCTTAAAAAGCAAACCACATATTGTGCCATTTAAACAAGACTCATTTCTCACAGTTTTGCAGGTTGGCAAGCCCAAGCTCAGGGTGCCAGCACATTGGTGTTGGGTGAAAGTACTCCTCTTGGTTTTCACTTGGCCATCTTCTCGTTGTACCCTTATATGGTGGAAGAGAACTAGAAAACTCTCTGGAATCTCCTTGATAAAAACATTAATGCTTTTCCTGAGGGCTCTATCCTCGTGACCTAATTATCTTCCAAAGGCCTCACTTTTAATACCATCATATCGGGGACTAGAATTTCAACAATGAATTGGAGTGGGGGCACAAATCTTCAGTTCGTGATCACGTTAGTGGCAGTTATCCAAATCATGTATTTTTAAAAATCAGAGAACATTCAGTCTAAAGAGAAGCTTGCAAAAGTCAGACTCAAAACTGACAACAATTGACACACATGTCCTCCTCATTCATTAAGCTATTTGCTTTTCTTATATCCTTTTAAACTCTCAGCAATATGCTTAAATCTACAATGCCGGTGATGTACATAAGAGCAATGGTCTGAAAAAAGAGTTTAATTAAAATGTAAACATATTAAGTAACAACTTAGCTTGTCCAAAAGTCACTGCTTACTTCAATTAAAAGAAAAAAGTTAGAGATCAGGAGGATCACAGTTCAAGATCATGCCCAGGCAAATAGTTTGCAAGACCCTTTCTCAAAAATACACGACACAAAAAAGGGCTGGTGGAGAGGCTCAAGTGGTAGAGCACCTGCCTAGCAAGTGTGAGACCCTGAGTTCAAATCTCACTACCATCAAGAAAGAAAAAAGAAAGGATAAAGTTAGTGTGTGTGTGTGTAATTATTTTTAAAATACTCACAAGATCTAGTGCTGAACCTCCACCCAGGTATTCCATTATAATCCATAATTTTGAACCCTGTAAAGTCACAAAACAATTGAATAGTTATAAATGACCCAAAATAACACGCTAGCAAAAATGTTAAATTTTACATACTAGAACAATGATTATAAAATAGAGATTTAAAAGTGGTTGCTTGGAATCCAAAATATACTTTTTCCACAGAACATTTCAAAAGTGGAAAGTAAAGTTCTGAGTATAGAATTCTGAAAGAGTATTGGGGTTATTTTTCTTCTGATGTAAACAGATAAGAAAATAGGATGCACAGTTTATTCCAGGTGAAATGAATTTCGTTGTGAGTGAAACAAGAGGAAATGAAGCTTGGAGGGGGTAATACATGTAAACGAATTCTAAAACAAGTGTACACACACACACACACACACACACACACACACCCCATTCTGCTGTATAAGATAAACATTGGAGGGCTGGGGATGTAGCAGTACCATGCCCTTCCTACTGCAAAAAAAAAAAAAAAAACCTACAAAAAAAGCTAGCTAAAGGAAAAAATTGGAATAAACCACTAACCTCCCCTTTTATCAGCCATAGCTTCACACACTAGGGACACCTCTGTCTCCACATTCATTTCATGAATGGTATTCTCAGAAATTTTGTGAGACCACAGAGCTGACTGGAAGTAGAAAGGTTGGTTTTACTGGCGGAAGTCAAGTTGTGAATGAATTGTATTGTGAAAGTCCATTTGTAAAGTAGATATTTGGAATTTTAAAGCAAGCATTTTCCCATAAAAATTATATCTAGCTTCCTGGGATATCCCCTCAAACACAATTTTAACACAAATATATCCATAATACAGCATGCAGAGTTTCAGAGAAAGTCACTGTGATTTTATATCTTAATCATTTCTGTAGAGGAAAAATATACTCATTGTGTAGTTAACTTGCATCACCAATAAAATTTTTTCACCTTACAGCCCCAGCTATTGAATGAAGATACTCAAGCCCTCAAATTCTAAAATCCCTGGCAAGTAGTCAGGAATTCAATAAAAAATTCCAAGCACCTCCATGAAGCCAGGACTTTTCAAGGCAGGGTATGGACTCCTGTGACATGACAATGAAGTACTCAGGGATGGAAGAAGGTTGAGGAAACAGATGAGTTGACTTTGGAATGGGAGAGTAGGATGCAACCTAGGGTTAGGGATTGGGGACGGTCAGTTAGATTAAGAAGATACTTCTTTCTCAATGCCGTTACTCTGTAGGATGTATCATGAAAGGATGAGAGGAACAGTCTTTTCCCACCCTGTTCACTCTCCCCACTAATCCCCTGCCTCAGTCTCTTGAGTGCTGGGATTAAAGGTAAGTACCACCATATCCAGCCCTTCATTAATCTTGACATCCCTTGTGTCCTGCCATAGTGGGCCAGCTTGAACTGAGAAAAGAAAGGGCTGAGAGTCATGTGTCTACAGAGGGAAGGAAGAAATAAATCCCCACAAGAGAGGAGAGGGAAAAAGAGTTTGAGGAGTGGGTCATACAACTTGCATTCATGTACAGAAATTAGGCACTCAAAACCTGCCAGCAGAGAAACAGGGGAGAAACAAAATGTTTCTTACAACAACTTACAGACTAAGAACTTTTTCCTTTACCATCATTTTGTTTTGTAAGTACTCTATCATATGAGTTCAGAAACCTTCCTATATACCTGATATTTAAAAAGAAAAACATCTTATAAAACATGTTTATCTGTGTTGCAGTTCCTAAGGAATGAAAGCACCTGTTTTCCAAGTTAAAAAGCCAATGTGTGTCTTTTGTTTGTATCAATTCAAAACAGTGACTTATCAAACCTCTGCTCGTCACCAAAAAGTATTCCTAGAAAAGTAAGCTTGAAATATAATTCTACAAAACAGTATATACCGCAGACTTATTAAAGTTAAGACTAAGAAACTTCTATATCTGAGAATAAAGCTTCCTATCCGTAAGTGAGCTGTTTGGCTGACTCTTCTGAGACAGGCAGGGGAAGTGATAGCTTTTGTGGCTGTCTCATTTTGATGTCCACTTCTGGAGACAAGCCTCCAGAAGGATGGTGAAGATTGCTAGGCAGGCATGAGCCTGAAGCAAGGCCTGGTGAAGCAAGGGAAGAATGGCAAGCTCAAGGAAGCTTAATCCACAGAGACAGAAAGGAGGATACTGGTGGCCAAGGAGAGGGGAATGGGAAGTTATTGTTTGGTGCTACAGAGTTTCAATTGGTAAAGATGCTCTGGAAATGGATGGTGGTGATGGTTGCACCGGTCAATGTACTTAACATCAAATAACTGTATACTTAAAATGGCTACAATGGTAAATTTTACATTTTGTCTATTTTACCACAATTAAAAACCACAGTACATAAGATTTTATAGAACCACAAGGGACAGTAGAGGTTATCTTGCCTTGAGTATGGCTAGCTACTTTATCACTTCTGGACTGTTTTGCTTGAGTTTGGAATGCTTTGTGCAAAATCATGCTCGAGACCTAGTTCAAATGCTCCCTCCCCAGCTTTAGGTCAGTGCACTTGACATAGCCAGTCATAGTCATAGTTGAGACAATTTAGAAATACATATCTGAAACTGAGGAGAGAGGCTGGGACCAGAGACATGAATTTAGAAGTTGTCAGAATAAAGTAGATGAGACTGAGCAGGGTAAACATGCAGAATGAGAAGAATACTTCTAGTAGGCACTTTAAAAACATAAATCTGCTGAAATATGGCTATTCTAGGAGATTATATTAAGCTTACAGCTATTCTTATTTTGAGAAAAACATTTCGAAAGGAGAAAATTTTTGTCCTCAATTTTCTTCAAGTTTTATAAGAAAACACCAATCGAGTATTTAAATGAAAGAATATTCCAGAAACAGCAAGCATACTGTAAAGTCAAGCTTTAAGGAAAAAAATAATGAGAAGGCCACAAAATGTACAGACTCTGTTCTGGAACATTTTACTTTGTTCATTCAATTTTTAAAACAAATACTGGTGGTGGTATATATAGAGGGGTGTGTGTGTGTGTGTGTGTGTGTGTGTGTGTGTGGTGATATTTCCTTAATATAAGCAGAAACCTAAAGGCAGTTTCAGTAGCAAAGAAAGGCATGATGCAATTTCTACTCAATGCTTGAGTGAGTTTCATTTTAAGATTTACACTGAACTAGCAAAATATTTAAAGATTATAAAAGATTCTTCTAATCATATGAGATCAGAAAGGAAGGGTTTGCTTATTTTAGCACTCTTCATAAAGACTAACTTTGTCTGTCAAGAAAATCTGCAATGAATTCAAATGAAAGGAAAACACTGTGGTTACCCTGATGTGTTTGTCTGGATTTTACTCTTGTTTTTAAAAATGAAGTTATACAGTGAGCTCAGTCAAAATGAATACCGAGGGCATTTTTGCATGTCTTAAGGAAATCACTACAACTGCATACAGTTTTAGAGAACATATAATTTTCTCTCAAATGCAATAACCTTTTTCTCCTGCTTACAGTGAGGTCTTGGTTATGTATGATATCCTGGGTAATGACAACCTGAGAAAAACCTGTATCCTACATTACTCAATTAACTTGAATTGTCAAATCCCCTGTCACTGAAATGCAAGGATGGCCAGAATGTGTATGCTGAGTTGATGGACAATGCCATTCCCCGAGGGTACTAACACTATGGTGACTGTATTCAACAGAATCTTCTGTATTTGATGTGATTTCAATTTTTTTAGAAAAAAATTGCAAACTCACATAGTCACACTATGGTTTAATATAAATGGAAAATAAACAAATCGGTCAATTTAAGAAAGTGATTTAAGCAATAGTATTAATAGGTTATAAATTCATAGGTTTTTTTGTGTGTGTACATCTATCTATCTATCTATCCATATATATACTTCAAAAAGATTCAGGATACAAATAATATCAGGCAACTATGCATTTCTCTAATTTTATCATAATGCAGTATGTTCTTCAAAGCAGTCTTTCAATCAGACATCAATTAATGAAAGATAAAGGAGATAAAAATATTTCAGTTTTATCCTTTAAGAACCATCGTAGGTAATGGTTCTGTACCACTGACTGGTCTGAGTATACTTTACAATTTTGGGGACAAAATTAAAAATTAGTTTGCATTTATTCAAACCTTAAGCAATTACTGGATGACTAGTCCATGTATACCACTGTGCTAGATTTACCACTGTGCTAGGCTTTGAAGGGAATTAACTTGAAAAATTAGAAATGCAACCACAAAGTTGTAATACATTTTCCATGGGCAAACTGATTATGAATGAACAAAAGCTATAAGCAGCCACTAAAAATGTCTGATAGTATATTAGTACTGATTTTCAATAGAATATAGAATATTCATTTAAATAGGGCTTATTTAAGTCAGTCACCAAAAATAGCTTATCTGTTACAAAGTGTCTAAAAATAGCAAGGATTCAGGTTTACTCTAGAGTAGGTCTGGAATTACCAGGATTCCAGAAAAAGTAGAGCAGAATGAGCAAATAACAGATACACACACACACACACACACACACACACACAGAGCAACAACAACAAATTCCCAGGGCTGACACCAGCAAGTCTGCTGGGAGAATTAGGGGGTGACCTAAAAGTATTGAGATTGAATGATCACTCATGAGATTTCTATAAAGGAATATGACCTGCTAAATTAGATTTGTAGAAATGAAAATGAAGAAAATGCAGTAAAATGCAGTGAGAGCTAACCCTTCGAAATGCTGAAATTGAACAAAAACTACCAGCATTGTAGTCTGGAGGTCTTTTTTCTTATCACCCTTGCAAAAAAAAAAAAAGGATATAAGTGACCACTTGCTTATTTGTAGTTATTAATCATGAAATCTGCACCAGTGTAGAGCAATGCTAGAATGCGAACACCTTGGTGGCACTTCTTGGTTTACTTTTTTTTTTATTTTTAGCACCTAATACATTGCATGCCACACAGTGACTGGTTGTTTAAATGACTCATTCTTTGTCCATTATTCTGCCAATTTGTATAATATTAGGATCAATCAGACTTCGTAGGCAGGAAATGAAATTGATGAAGCACTTCTGTGTTGCTATTAAGAGATACTTAGTGTTGAACATGTAACAAGAACAAAAGCATAAACATATCCACAAACCAAAGTCATCCTGGGAGGGCTTAAGGATCCATTTAAGAATCTAAGAGGGAGCTCCACAAAATGCACCTATATGGATCCCCCAGGCAGCCCCAGAGGATTCTGGAGAATTATAGAAACAGATTCTCAGATTCGGGGGTTTCATGAAAGGTCTTTATTTTAACCATGCATACAATCCTTTGTTTTACGGCTTCTGTCACCCAGGTCTTCTTTACATGGGTCCCAAATCTGCCTGTCTATAATAATTCACAAAAAAATTTACAGAATCTTAAAAAAAAAAAAGAACCTAAGAGGGAGAGACGATGGGACAATGTAAATAATGTACAATATACGTCTAATCGGAATTGCCACTACAAATCCCCTCATATATAATGAATATTTCCTAAGAAAAATTGTATATATAAAAAGAATATGCAGTAACACAGGAAAAATGGAGCACAGATTATGACCACAAAAGGGCTCGCTGGTGAGTTCGCCATACCTGAGATGCCAGACTAAAGAAGAAAGGTGCCGCTGTGGGCTTCACCATAACCTCGCGGTGGGACCCCTTGTGGTCCCCAGTGGCCTTCTCCAGCAGAAGAAGACCTAACATCTGCTGCTGAGTCACCAGGCAGAGGGCAGCTCAGAGGCTCAAAGAAGGCACTCGGGACAAGGAGCCTACATGCTGCCACAGCGTGCCAGCTCCGGAGCCCAGCGCCGTGACAGCTGGCCGGAGCCAAGGTGTCTCCATGGGCCCACGCTCCACACACCAGCTCGGTGACCACGGAGAGCCAGCCTGCACGTGGGTCCCTGAACTGTCTCTGTAGCCACCATGCCCCAGAGGAGTCCTCACAATAACAAATGACCGATCGCTCTTCTCGCTCACACAGGAACAGCGCCAGTGTCTCTCCGCGCATGCACAGACATGGCTCAGCTGCCACCGATGAAGCCTGTGCCTGTACACCATCCCGGTGGTGCCACTGCCCATAGACTTGCACCCGAGCCACCAGAGGCACCACCTGGCTCGTGCTCCCCTCATCAAGGCTTCCAGCAGAGTATGGTGGTCTAGCACTCGGGAGGCAGAGGCAGTTCGAGGCCACCCTGGGGCTACATAGTGAGCCCCTGTCTCGGAAAATAAATTAATAAATAAAAGGCAAGGGATGTAGTTCAGTCGTGGAGCGCTTGCCTAGCATGCATAAGGCCCTGGGTTCCATCTCTAGCATTGCAAAACTACATAAATAAATAATAAATAAAACCAATTTTTTTGGAGGGGGGACACAGATGTTATTGCATTTTAACAAATAATTGGTCCTCTATATCCATGGATTGCACATTCAAAGACTCAATTGTGGATCGAAAATATTTATAAAAAAACTTTGCATCTGTACAGACATTTTTTCTTGTCATTATTTCCTAGATAATACAGTATAACATCTATTAACGGTGCATTTAACATTATAATAGATATTTAAAGTAATCTAAAGCTCATTAAAAGCACACAAAAGGATATGCCTAGGTTCAATATAAAAACTGTATGATTTTATATAAGGCACTTAGTCAACAGATTTGGGGGTCCTAGAAGAGGGGGCCTGGAACCAACCCCCTGAGGATGGGGGGGCGCAACTGTGTGCAATACTCTGTGCTAAGTGATATGAATAATAAGACTGCTTCTGGTAAATTACCTGCAATGGAGGCTCTAACATTGTGCTGGAAGACAGAAATATCTAACTAACCATCATCACTCAGTGGAATAAATGACAGACTTACATAGTCTGTCAAGTCCAAGGTTCAGACAGACTGCACTATTGAGAAGAGCTTGTGGAAATCCACAGGGATTCTCTCTTTCCTGACAAATGATGTGACCAGCTGCTTTTCTGCTCCTCCACTGAACCAAAAGTTCAGGTGTGGGAAAGGGCACAGCTGAACACTGGGATGCTTTCAGGATACAGCTGCTAACGGATCTAGATTCTGTCTGGAAGCCAAAGACTGCCAAACCCTAATTTAAGATATTGTCTTTCAAAAAACAGAATTAGAAAAAGAAAGGAAAACATAATGAAAATATCTTGTGACTTAGCTAATACAGCACACACATTACCTTTAAATAGGACCCATAGTATTTTGTTACATAGGAGCTGTCACACTGACTCAAAACGGTTATTTCTTGTTGAATGTCTTCAATTTCATCTTCTGCTTCCTCAAGGTCTATAATTTTAATGGCAACCACCTGCTGAGTACGGTTATCAATGCCTTTGAAGACTTCTCCGAATGAGCCTTTTCCAATGCGTTCTAATTTTGTGAACAGCTCTTCTGGATCTGCAATATTATTCTAAGAGGGGGAGGGAGGAAGAGAGAAAGAAAGAGTACAAGTGTTTTGAATCAATTTTTTTTAACGAATGAAAATAAATCACATAAGACAATAACATTTTGGTATACAAGTTTGGTTTTAGTATTTTAAATTATAAGTGTTTATTGGGTACAGGGTGATAATTTGATACATGCATACACAATGTGCCAGGAATAAATTCAAGTACTGAACATTTAGCATTTCTTAAAGTCTAAGAAGCACACATTTGCCTTGTGAGAACAGTTGTAATCCTGAACAGTCCATCAGTCCATATTTTATTGGGTCACACACACTAAATAGGCTTAGCTGTTCCTGCTACCCAAACAACCCCATAGAGCAAATGTCGCTGGGGCCTGCCAAAGGATCAGGCACTTAAAAAAAAATAAGACAGCTGATTATATACAGTTTGTACATAAATGCAAATGTGGCAAAAGCATGAAAACACCTTACTTAAGCTAGGATGAAACACTGACAATTCAAACACTTCTCTGTCTCCAAACCAGATATCACAATTACCATAGATCCATTTCCAAATTACCATCTAAACAGTACAAAACAGAAAATACTCAAGGATACACAATGCTTTTGTCTTTACTTGGGATCCTATCTGCATATAGTATTCTCATCAGTGGCTGAAATAAGAGTCTATACCTTTATTAAAAACTTCCCCCAGGCAGGCATGGTGGCACATGCTTGTATTCCCCGCGTTCAGGAGGCTGAGGCAGGAGAACAGCAAGTTCAAGGCCAGCCTGGGACACATAGGGAGACCCTCCTCAGAAAACAACAAAACGAAAATTGAAAAAACAAAACAAAACAAAAACAAAACACTTTCTCCCAAAGCACAGAAAACAAAAGTAAAATTAGACACATAGGAGAAAATGTTTGCCAGCTATTCCACTGACAAGGGATTAATACCCAGAGTACTAAAAACTCAATAACAAAGATCAAATAATCCAATTAAAAATGGGCAAAGGGTAGGGTATGAAGAGACACATCTCAAAAAAAAATTCAGAGTCAGGTGCTGGTAGCTCACGCCTGTAATCCTAGCTACTCAGGAAGCAGAGATCAGGAGCCTCACAGTTCGAAGCTAACCTAGGCAAATAGTTTGTGAGACCTTATCTTGAAAACACCCATCACAAAAAAAGGGCTGGTGTAGTGACTTGAGGTTTAGGCCCTGAGTTCAAACCCCAAAACCGGAAAGAAAAAAAAAACCCTCAGGCTAGTGGCTTGCCTAGTAAGTGCAAGGCCCTAAGTTCAAAGCCAGTAGGAAAGAGGAGGAAGAGGAGGAGGAAGAGGAGAAGTAGTAGCTGTTCAAATGGCCAACAAACTTTTGAAAAAATTCTCCATATAATTAGCGAGGAAAATGCAAGTCAAAACTACAATGAGGTATCATTTCACCCCAGTTAGAACAGCTATTATCAAAAGGACAAAAAATAAGAAATGTCAAGGATGTAGACAAAGGGAAATTCTCATACACTGTTGGTAGGAATGTAAACTAGTACAATCACATGCAAATCAGTATGGAGGTTCCTCAAGAAACTAAAAACAGAGCTACCATATGATCCAGTTGTTCCACTCCTACACCTGAAGGAAATGAAGTCAGCATATCAGAGAGACACCATGTGGGTTCCTATTCACAATAGTTAAGATATGGAAGCAACCTAGCTGCCCATCAACAAATGAATGGATGAAGAAAATGTGATATATGAACAAAGGGAGTATTATTCACCTATAAAAAGAATCCCATCCCATTGTTTGCAGCAAAATGGATGGAACTAGAGGACACTGTGTTAAGTAAAATGGCAAATGCAAAAAGACAAATTCCAATTGCTCTTTCTCATATGTAAATGTTTAAATTATGCAACTGGGATGTATAATAGTGACAAGTAGAGGCTGGAAAGAGTGGACGAGGGGAGATTATGGGAAGCTGGGTAACAGATACCCTAACACAGATAAGAAAGAAGTCATTAGTTCCAGTGTTCTACACCACAGTGGGGGAACTACAGTTCACAGCAACCTAATACCTGTTTTATAAATAACGAGAGAGGAACTTAAATGCTCCAAAGACAAATTAATGATAAGGAGACAGGAGCGTTAATTACTCTGATTTGATCAGTACATACTGTAGACACGTATTGAAATATCACAATGTACCACATAAATATGAATAATTATTATGCGCTAATCAAAAAGTAAAAAAATGTTTAAGGAGATGGAAATGTTAACTACCCTCATGTCTAGACAGTCCTAGCTGTTCAGGAGGCAGAGATCAAGAAGATCAAACTTTGAGTTCGGCTGGGTAAAAAGTTTTTTTTATTTCTAATGCCCTCCACTTTATTTTATTTTTAAAAAATTTTTTATTATTCATTTATTCACATGTGCATACATTGTTTGGGTCATTTCTCCCCCCTTCCCCCCTTCCCCACCCTTTCCTCCCTTCCCCCCCCTCACTTCCAGGCAGAACCTGTTCTGCCCTTGTCTC